GCATCTCCCATTGTTTTTGCATTTCTCCTGGCGGTGACCATATTCGAGGCACTTCGCGCACTGGGTGTCTGGGAAGGTCGGGAGGAAGGCCTCGATGTGGCAGCTTCGGTTGAAGAGAGATAGGAATTTAACTCCTAGTGTTTCCATTGTAATTTGTCCTGGGAGCGCGATGACCATTGATAAGTGCGTTTTTCCCATTCGAGTTTCTGCCCTGGAGATCCAGCGGGGGACCTGGGCAAGTTGGAGGTTCTCTCCATAGTTGCTTCTGATTTCTGATGCTACCAATTGTCCCGCCTCAATGCCCTCCCCGACCGTTGTGGGGATTCCATGGAGGAGGAACTTTGACCATTTTGAGTTTCCGCGGATGACGGCGACCGGTACCTGTAGGGTGAGGAGGGCCTCCTCAATTTCTTTGGCATATTCCATTGCCTTTGTTGCAGAGGTGACGAATTTTGTTTCCAGGATGAAGTTGTCCTTGGGTGTCCTTCTTGCCGAGATGAAATGGCAGGATTCGTCTTGGATTCTTGCTTTGACGAGGGTTCTGATCTCGGAGGGGTTAACATCGGATGGGGCAGTAGTTTCAACAATGATCTCCCTGTTGATTTTGGTGTACTCTGGTTTGAAGAGGGGGTCCGCTTTTGGCTTTGCGAACTTCTTTTTACTCTCGATGACCTGGAAGTTTCCTTGGGCAGGACCGGGTGCCGAGGCCACGGCGGCCCAGGTGCCTGCCTTCCATCCACGAGGCGGGGCTTGTTGGGGGGGTGCGGGTGGGGGGGCCTGAGGAGCTGCCTGTGGCGCTGCTTGGGGAACTGTTTGTGGGATCGCTGAAGGGGGCATTCTCTGTCCTTGCGGTTGTTGTGGTTTTCGCTGTTGTTGCTGTTGTTGCTGTTGTTGTTGCTGTTGTTGCTGTTGTTGTGGTTGTTGCGGTTGCTGCGGTTGTGGTTGTTTGTTGAGGAGCGCGTGGATCGCCGAATGCATATTGGTGATCATGTTTGTCTGCGCCTAGATCTGATGTTTCAGTGTGTCCACTGTTCTCCGGAGTGTAGTCGTTTGCTCTTCGAGGATTTCAATCCTGTCGGAGGGTGGGCAGATCCGGCTGGTGGCATGTCTGATGGTCCAGGTAATGTAGTTCAAGTCCGTCTGGGTGTGAGTATCCTGGGGGACAATGCTCGGGTAGAGGTAATCGACTCTCGGTTGGTAGGGGTCGTTGTAGTTGGATTCTGTTGCAAAGGTCGAGGAGAATTCCTGTTCCTGAGCTCCGGATGGGGTTGGGTCGGGAACCTGAGTATTCCTGATCTGCGAGGGGGCTGTCCCTTGCTGTACAGACTGGGTAAAAAAGGACTGGAGCGAAGCGTGCTGCGACATAACTGAGTGTCCAGTTCTTCTGGCGGCGTAGAGTGAAGTTTCGGATAGGTTTCTTTTCCTTCCCTTCGGGAGGTCAAGGCTGGAGAATTCTTCGCTAGAAGCCAGTTTTCGTAGGTTTCTTTTGCTTGGAACAACAAAACGCGACCGTACGATCGGGGACGAAGTGGCTCGACCTGGTATGATATACCAGGGTAAACCGGGGGGGAATAAAATAAAGTGTTTTTGAAGCGAGGTTTGTTATCAGGGAGTTCTTTGCGAGCCTTAGCGAGCAAGTAGAATACAGAAGAAAAAGAAGAAGAAGAAACTTATATTGCTTAGAAGCCGAAGCTTATCGCACACCTAACTACCCGACTACAACCTCCACCAACTAACCCGAAAGCAAAAACAAAGTACAAAAACTAACTACCGCAGCTACGAGAACTACGTACATAAAATAAAAATAAACGACGCACGAAGAGGGCGCAAATAACAAGTGGTACAGGTAAGCAGAATCTAAGCGACAACAAAGAAACCTCCCCGTAGTAAGAATGAACCCCAAACTTCTCCGTCAACTACATAAGCGAGCACAATCCCAAACGTAGTGTTCAATCGAAACGATATCATTACCAACGTTCCCGGTGTCATATCTGTGGACGAACCTTAACAGGACTGGGAAACCACGCGCACGAAGGCAGGAGAAGCCAACCGCAACAGCGTCAGGGTGGAAGCGAGGGGGGTGGTGTAAGAGTGGGTCCTCGGGCGTCTGGTTGTCAGGCAGCGAGGAATTGAGCAGTGGTGACCGGTAGGTCAGTTAAGGAGTGGTGGGGTCGTCGGTCCCTGGAGCAGCGGCTAAAGACTGTGCCCGAGTCGTGTTTGAAGTGGTGTCCTCTGGAGGGGACATGCAAAGAGGGTTGAGCCGAAGGCTCAGTATGTATGGGGGTCGCAATCGAAAGTGCCGACCGTATTGTGTTGAGGGTGGTCTCGGAGACCGGTTGGGTTGGGGTGAGGGGAGCGGGCCGCCTCGGGTAAAAAGGGTTGCCTGGTTAAGGCCGATAAAGAGGGGTAAGGTCACGGGGCTTCGGGTAAAAAATTTGACGATAGTTTCGCGACCGAGAGGTCGCTAACTTCGCGGGCTGTCGAGCGCTTTGGCAGTAGGTTCTCGCTGACTGGAGATTACTGACAGTGTGCGTACCCGACGTGTGGGATCACTCGTGCGATGAGTGAAAATAAGGAGGGGCAAAGGTGGCTTTCGAGAGTAGCCGCTGGTTTGGCGAGGGGTGAACGGTGGACGCATCCCGTGAGGGCACCGAACGAGCAAAGAATGGGGGGTGTCGAGCGAGGGAAGTTCAGGGACCGAAGCAATTCGAGAATCAGTATAACTCCATCTCGGGGGGAAGAAATCCTATCGCGAGCCAGAGGCGAGCGAGTAGAATACAGAGGTTGCGTAAAGAGAAAAGGAAAAGAAAGAGAAACAAGAAATCACAAGACAACGCCCCCCTTATATATCCATACCCTATCCCAATGCTGACTCATACCCTCGCATAACAGAAACAGAAAGAACATAATAAAAACCCGCTTCACTAAACCCAACCACACTACATAATCCTTCTCCCTTATACCCAGACAACTCACATAGCCAACCCGCCTAACTGCCGTTACAGTTCCTCGATCAGATACAATGGTATTAGGTAGTCCATGTAGCTTCCAAACGTTATCGATATATAGCCTCGCTACTTCCCTTGAATTTGCCTCTTTAGTCGTTGGTATTAGATGTCGCATTTTGGTTAATCTACCCACCACAACTAAGATTGCATTGTATCCATCGCTCTCAGGGAGATTAGTGACAAAATCCATCGATATATCCGTCCACGGTCCCTCAAGTATCGACATAGGGTGGAGTACTCTATAAGATGCATTGCGTGGTGCCTTGCTACGGGCACATACATTACAATTCCTAACATACTGGTCGACATATCTCTGCATTTGTGGCCAATAATATTCTCGATTTAGGAGTTCTAAGGACTTTGCTCTGCCTGGATGACAGGCCGATAGTTTGTCATGGTGTTCTTTTAGGAGCCTTAGCCGAGGATCATTGTCCTCTGGTACATATAGTGCACCTCGATAAAGTAGCCGACCGTTGTTATCTTCCGTGCATTCGGCAAGCGAAATTTTGTTCGAATGGCGAACGCCATTCCGAAGCATAGTGAGGATCTTGTTTGGAAAACTACCAACTTGGTAAGCTTTTGAAAATAACTCCTCTACAGTGGACGCTCCTTCAGCGGATTCATTTGACAAAGAACCCGCGAACAAACTTAGCTTTATATCCAAATTTTTTCGCTCAAAATCACTTGACTCTGATGCATCAACCGTTCATCCCTCTCTTTAGGTAGGTCACCTGACCTCCTATTCAATGCATCTAGTTTCGCTCCCTGTTTTCCTGGCCGAAATTGTATAACGAAATCGAAGCGTGAAAGGAATTCGGACCAACGGGCTTGTCGACGATTTAACAATTTTGTTGTCATAAAATATTCAAGATTCCGATGGTCGCTAAAAACTTCAATTGGGAATTGAGCTCCCTCCAGGTGATGTCGCCATTCTTCAAAGCATCGTATAATTGATTAAAGTTCTTTATCATAGATTTCATAGTTGTACTCTGCAGAAGAATGTTTTTTGGAGAAGAAAGCGACTGTATGTAGGATTCCTTCGTTATCACGATGAGATAGGATTCCTGCTGAAATATAGTCAAATGCGTCGGTTTCTATCACAATCTTTCAATCCGGATTAAAATGAGCTAGTATTGGTACCGTTGTAAACATCTTTTTCAAAGTTTGAAATGGTTCCTCCCTTTCATCTGTCCATTCAAATTTAACGTTTTTCTTTGTCAAAGCTGTAAGCGGAGCAACAATTTTCGAATATCCTAAAATGAACCGTCGATAGAAATTTGCAAATCCTAGGAATACTTGAATATCATGAAGGTTCGTCGGTGTAGACCATTCCAAAACATCAATAACTTTCTTTGGATCCATTCTATTTCCATTCGGAGTAAGGATTAAACCAAGATATTTCGTTTCATGAACTATAAATTCACATTTTTCAGGTTTAAGGTGAACATGATTCTCATCAAGTACCTTTAGAACCTTTTGAATGTGTTCTTTATGTTCTGATAGAGTCTCGGAATAGATAAGGATATCGTCTAAGTATGCCGTTATGAATTGGTCGAGATGGGGATGTAAAATATCATTGATCCAATGTTGGAATGTAGCAGGGGCATTAGCTACTCCAAATGGCATTACTGTATATTCGAAATGTCCATATCGAGTTCGAAATGCCGTTTTCCATTCATCTCCCTCCGCTATCCTAATCTGATTTCATCCTCAACGTAAATCCAACTTGATATAGTATTGTGCTTTTGATAGCTTAGCCAGGGTTTCCTTTAACAATGGTAGTGGATATCGATTTTTGATTGTGATTGCATTTAGACCTCGATAGTCAAAACAAAGTCGAAGGGTTCCATTGCTTTTCTTTACGAACAATATAGATGCTCCCGCTGGTGACTCACTAGCCCGAATAAATCCTTTGGGTAAATTTTCATCAAGATATTCTCGTAGTGCTTTCAACTCGATTTGAGACAATCCATATATAGGTCCATATAGTGATCATTTGCCTTCTTCTAAAACTATTTCAATATCATGGGATGGCCGATGTGGTGGAAGGACTGAAGTATCATATTCCTTGAACATATGTAGACGATGGTGAAACTCCTTCGGTACTAGCTCTTCAATGTCGATGGTAGATTTTTCAGTTGCTGAAACGATGACTGTATGGTGTTTCGGTAAAGGAATCGAGATACCATGAACAATAACTGCAGTTCCACTAAGTGAACAGTGTTGACAACAGTTCCGAGAGTCAAAAACAAGTAGATTTTCCTTTGGTCGAATCGTAACATCATGACGTCGTATCCAAGGTATCCCCATCACAATCGGGTAGTGTCCTAACTTCGTCACAAAACATGGTGCAGTTTCCCGATGACCATGAATGTCTAGCGAGACATCGACAATATGAGTAATTTTCCCTGATTTAATAGGCCTTCCGTCTATAACGTCTACATGGCGAGGTATCTGAAGAGGAGTCATTATAAGATTGTTGTGGCGTGCAAAAGATTCGTCAATGAAAGCGTATCCTGATGCTCCGGTATCAATAAGAGCGTAGGTGGGGATTACCTGATTGTGTTTATTACCCAATGTGGACTAGTGGCTGGGTTTGAAGACTGGGTTTGAAAAGAACATGAGGGTTAATTTTGACTGTCCGGCGTTGTACCAGTTATTAAGACAAATATCTCACAGGTTGATGGGGCGTTCTCGGGGTAAAAATACTACCCGCCGTCATTTCTGCATCTTCGTATACCCTAACCCTACCCTTCGTTCGAGGTAGTCCTGCTAGTCCAGATGGGGTGACGTACCATCGAGATAACTCCACGATAGTACGGCTATTTCGCTAGGACAGAAGCCACACATAATTTGCATTTGAATGGGCAGCATGCATCGATAAACGGGAGGCTGGGTGTCATTTCTCAGGTACAGTGAGTTTAATTACTTGGCTATCTGATCAATCTCATTACTCTGTATATTCTCACTACGGATTATGGATACTGAATTCATAGGAAACCTTCTGCGACATGATGTATTATAATTCATTTTGCTCACAGGGAAGGTCCAGTACAACTAGATAGCCACTTCCATGCCTTGAGAAAAACATCGCCAACCTTTACCATCATACCGCGGATGCCGCTGAAGAGTTGTTGAAGGCATCCCCTGAAGGCATTCCAGGCACCCCCCATCCATCCCCTGAAGGCATTCCATGCATCCCCCACCCACCCCAGAATCTTCCCCCATACTGTCAATCCTCTGCGCTGCTCCTGCGGCGAGCGATTTTTAAGGTTCTCCTTCAACGCCTTGCCCGCCTCGTCAATGCTCTCGGCATCTCTTACCTTTTGCTTTTCACACATGTCCAAAATCTCTTTTTCAAGGTCGAATGGAGCTGGGTCAGGTTGCTCTTCTTCAGCCTTCTTCGCCAATATTCTAACAAAGGATAAGAAATCACGGATCGAGCCCCAGACGCTACTAAGCATTTTCTTTCCGAGGCGAACCAAAAAACGTAGAAATGATTCAGGAGGTTCGTCGGCGGGCGGTGTTCCTTCAGCGGTCGGTGTTGCCCCGGTGGCTGGTGTTTCCTCTATTGCTGGCGTTTCTTCCGGGCCCGGTGTTCCCTCAGCGGCCTGTGTTCCCTCCGCAGCCGGTGTTCCCTCGACGGCCAGTGCTCCCTCGGTGGCCAGTGCTCCCTCTAGCTCGATGAAGATTTCACGATAAGCTGGTGGCATCTCCGGAATATGTTCAAGATACACCGGTGGTGCATCTTCCTCAGTAATCTCCAATTCCGCAGGAGCTTGAGGGTGCTTTTGCACGGGTGGCGTGTTCAATGACTCCAGCTTTTTCTCTAGCTGTTTACTCCAAAAGTTGCTCGAGAGAGACATAGCGCTGCAAACCAAGTAATTAGATCCTTGAACGGAGAGCGATGAAGCATAAAACTGCAGGATTGGTAAGGGGGGCCGTACCAGGTAAGTAGAGCAGTAAACGTTATCGCCTGAAGACTTTGGAAGACTGTGGTACGTTTGGGGAATAAAATTTATGGCTTCTGCGTGATGTTGTATGAATGATTGTTAGGCACGGGAGTCAAGGATATATAGCACGTCTATGCAGAGCCCAGCTAACAATCCTTGGCATTCTCGCCCTATCACATCATGTCGATCAGTTAGGCCTCCAATATACATATCATTTCACATATCAGCTGAGCAAGGAAGATAAAGAAATTGATCCGTCCAATCAGACGGCTGTCACGTGCAACTCTCTGGGAAATACCACGGGCAATGTAAGAACGGGCATACTTCTCCCCTCACAAGCCTTCCTCGCCATCTCTACCCGACACCATATCCCACGGAATTCAACCATAATTCATCAATTTCCCCAATCATTACCGTATTATGTCGACTCACTTTGAGAAGATGAGTTTGCCTGGAAAACCACATCCGTCCGAGTCCCAGCATCCCGCAAACACAACTCTGCTCGAAGTCGGATGTCCGAGTTCCTTTCCTTGGGCTACCCCGATAGTTATCCTGCGCATACTCAGCGGGCTCGAGGGCGCCTTCAAGGATCCAATATACCTCAATCCCAAGCATGTTGACGCGCTCGACCTGATCCTCGCTAACGCCGTCTATCAACAGCAATCCGCGATCCAAGAGTACTTGGACCCAGTATGGGAAGTGATTGGCTCACTCCCAAGTATCCAAGCGCGAGAGGCTAAGGTGCAGCATGCTATTAATGCATTGAAGCTCGAGATTCATGGGATCACGGACAGCATGTCTCGGGAAGCTATACTTTACATCAAGAGCCTCGACGCCCACGAGCACTTGGCAGCCACTAAGTACTGGGAACAAACGACGAAACGACTTTCGTCGTTTATAGAGAAATCAATGAAGATTACCCTAAAGAGGTTTGATAAAGCCCTAGACGCGGCCGAGGAGATATGGAGGCAGCGGGAGGTAGCGAGGGACGAGATTGAAGAGGAGCTTGATTTACTTTTAGAACGCCTAGACGAGGAGGCTGAATGAAGCCTATTTCAATATGTATCAGACATGTTATTGTAGTATTGTACTCTACGGCCGCGGTATTAGTTGCGAGTTAATGTGATAAGTAGACGTCTCATTTTGGTGTAATTCATAGACTACCCCATGGGGGAGGGCCCTGACCCGCCGACAGATCGCGTTACTGGTGATTATGAGCAGGCTAGGTCGGTATGGCGAGACCTTTGTTGATAGGTTCGCTAGGTTGGATCGCCCAGTGCAAACTCAGGGTAAAGGGGTTTTTTTCTTCAATACTCTTGATATTGAGCCGAATCGTGCAAACAAATTCGTTGCAGTTTCATCTGATCTTGAAATAGAACGTTCTAAACAACAATGGTAACTATATAAAAAGAAAATAACGAAAAAAATAAAAATAAAAATATTTACAACACGAGAACAGAAATGATCATAAAACGAAGAAATCGGGGTACAGTGTGAACAGGATCAAAAATTCAAAGTTCCGCCATAGAGACGAGTCAATGTCGCAAGCTTCTCCTTCACATCAGGGATATCCATCTTGCGCACTTTCCGAGCCCACGTAGAACAGCTGTCCAGAAGATTTATGAAATCAAATCGTGTCATGGCCGCTGTTTGCACAATAAACGCCGAAGAAAGGCCGTAAATCAGAAGGCAAAAAATGAGTATATCGGTAAGTTTCATGAGGTAAAAGATGATATCGTATAACCTTCCCACCTTTAGCCGGTCGGCGATGAGTTCGATAGGGGGATCTTTTATATGACAGTTATTAGCATTGTATTTCATGCCTGTGTCAAAAGCATATGCATGTACAGCGAGAGGTAATAAGTGATGGAACGCCCTAAGAGACAGTTATACCTGCAAACACCGTATGTTGGTGGCGTTTTACTCAAAACGGGTATCACTGTGTCTCAGCCGTTCCATCACTTATTACCTGCTGGTGTACACGAGTCCTGAATTGAATCATGTAACTTCTCAGGGAGCTTACCTCTAGCGGTGGATTTCCTCTTGACTTGTGTGAAGATCTCCGAGACTGCATCAACATACTCCGAAGCTGTCTGGGCACGACTTGGTGGAGCATATGACTCAATTGTCTCATTCTCTACAGCGGCTTCAAGGATCTTTGCCGCAATGGCTCCACCTTCGACCTCATAATACAGTTCAAATAATTCCGGTCCCCCCTTCGCTCTACCCCTTGCAGCTCGTAGAAGAATTTTTCTCGATGCTTGGCCGATACTGCGCAACAGAAAGTCTATGGCTTCCTCTCTGGTTGGGCTTTCGTCTCTAGCTTTGAACACAGCATCCGTAAGTCTGCCCCCTCTACTCAGGAGGATCTCAAGATTCTGTTTCCCGCCAGGATTCATTGCAGCCCCCATCATTACCTGCTCCGTAATCTGACCACCCCGAACTAATAGGGCATTTAGATTAACTGTTTTCTTATTGCTCGGATTCCACGCTGCTGCAAGCATTACTCTCTCGGTGATTATTCCACCTCTGTCTAACAAAAAGTCTAGGCTGGTTGGTGTAGACTCTCCTGGATTCAATGCCGCCGCCAGCATCAAGGTCTCATTGATCTCCCCGCCTTTTTCTAATAGAAACTCCAGATTCTGACTGCCCTTTGGATTCCATGCTGCTGACACAAGGATTGCTTCGGTGGGAGGGATTATCTCACCATGATCAGAGTAGAGGAACTTCAACGACCGATCACCATGAATGTTGTTCGCCGCAGTTATCAGAATCTTCTCAGTGATCACTGGCGGTTTATCTGCCTGATTAAACAGAAATTCGAGAGGAGGATTACTAAATCCAGAATTTCCTGCCGCTGCTGCAATCACATTTTCTGTAATAGGAGGCATAGATTCGACGGTACTGAACATCAAGTCCAAGATCTCTCGGCCTCTCCAGCTTACTGCCGCCTCCATTAGCATCTTTTCTGTTATCTGGATATTCCGAGCTCTATTGAAGACAAATGTAAACACTTCGTGCGATGTTTTTGCAGCAACTTCAAGCAGCTCCTCGGTGACCGGGACAGTATTGTCCGCGCTCCAGAGTAGTTCCAGTCCTCTCTTTCCGGTTTGAGTATTCTTTGCTGCCGCTAGTAGCATCTCTGTGGTGATTGAAAAATCGAGCTTCTGCTTCAGAAGAAACTCTAGCGCCTTTTCATCCTTCCAACTTCCTGCTGCGGCCAGCATTACGGCCTCGGTGACTTGACCGCCTTGGTTTATCAGGAGCTCCAGATAAGCACCGCCATCCCCATTATTTGCTGCAGCAACCATCAATGCTTCGGTGACGGGGTTGGTGGGGGTAATACTACCAATATCTAAAAGATATTGCAATGCATCTCTGCCTGTGGTATCTCCAGCTGCTACCAAAAGGATGGCTTCGGTCACAAGAGAAGATGAACTGTTATTACTCGTCAAAAGCGTTTCTAAATATTCTTTGCCGTTTTCCCAATTCCCTGCTGCAGTCACCAATACTTTCTCCGTGACCTGACCCCCTCTGCTCAGTAATGATCGTACAAAGTCACCTCCGTGACCATGCCGCACCGCTGCTACCATTATTGGTTCTGTGATCGGGAGAGTATTGTCAAGGCTTAGAAGATATTCCAGCGCTCCACTATCTGACATGTTACCCGCTGCCGCAAGTAGCATCGCCTCGGTGACTTTGTGCTCTTCCATCACAAATATGGACTCCAGCAGCTGCCTACCATTCGAGTTACCCGCTGCCGCCACCAATACAGGTTCAGTAATGAGAACGGTATCGTCAACGCTGAGCAAGAATTCTAATGCTCCTTTACCGCTCCAGTTACCAGCCGCAGCCACGAGTACGTTCTCGGTAATCATACTCTCGCCACCTTTTTTCAATAGTAGTACCAAGTATTTAGTAGCATGCTTGTTCTTAGCTGCAGCTACAAGCATAGCTTCGGTGATCAGAATCTTGTGATCCGGCTGTGTCAAGAGGAATTTCAAAACCTCTAGCCCTTCTGTGTGTCGTGCAGCTTCGACCAACATCTCTTCGGCGATCGTGATGGTACCATCAATGCTCAAAAGGTGCTCAACAAATTTCTTGGAAGAGCTCCATCCCGCAGCCTCGATCACTCGCTTTGTGACTTGACCACCTCGACCGATCAGTAAGTCTAGAACATCGGTGTCGAAATTACCCCATCGATTGCTTGCCGCTTCTATCATAACTTCCTCCGTGACCTCGCCACCGTTGTCTAACAGTAATTGAAGGAGTTCCTTGCTCGCATATTGGCCTCTTGTTGCTGTCACCATCACCGCCTTGCTTACTTGACCACCTACGCTCAATAGCAATTCCATCGTTTGCTGTGCGCTAGGGCCACCTACTGCGTCCAACATCATAGTTTCGCTCATGATCACTTTAGTGCCTCTACTTATTAGGAGGAACTCCAGAGCTTCAAAGCCGTCCCGGTTACGGGCTGCAGCCAATAAGACTGCCCCAGTCACCTGTCCGCCTTTTTCCAGTAGCATCTCTAGCAATTCTTTGCTTCCACTCCAGCTTCCTGCTGCCGCAATCATTACCGCCTCGGTGACCTTTGCACCGCGGTGTAATAGTGGGTCCATATATTTCTTGGCGTGGGTGTTTCTTGTAGCAGCCAAAAGCATCGACTCTGTCATTTGCATCTCTCGATCTTTCGATAACAGGAATTTTAGCGTTTGTGGGCCATTGTGATTCTCAGCTGCTGCCACCAAAACGCCTTCTGTGACCTTGCCACCTTTGCTCAGAAGAAATTTTAAAACATCCCTGTCCTTTGATGTTCGTGCAGAGGTTGCCATGATTTCATTTGTGATTTGAATCGTGTTGTTTTTGCTCAGCATCAGCTCTAGCAGCTCCGTATTGACTGCACCTTTCCCCACAATAGCAACTATCATTGCCTCCGTGATTTCGACTTCGCCTCGAGATAGCAAGGTTTTAATTGTTTCGTCAGGCTTCCAACCCTCAATCGCTGCGAGAAGGACTGCTTGGGTGATCTTTCCGCCTTCTTCCAGCAGTAAATCTAGAGGTTCCTTGCGCTGATAATATGTTACCGCTGTTGATAAAACGAGCTCTGTTGGTTGACCGCCTACTGCTAATAAGCATCTGAGAGCCTCTGGTCCATGCCAGTTCTTAGCTGCCGCGATCATTGCTGCTTCTGACACTTTAACTCCTCTACTTAGAAGTAACTCCATAGGCTCCGTAGTTTTACACCAGGCGGACACCTCCGCAAGCATTGTCTCGGATGTGTTGATGTTTTTATTTTCTTCGTTGAGTAACAGCTTAATTACTGCTTCACTACGACTCCAGATTGCAGCCATTAAGGCGCTACCATGAACTCCACCTTGATCATTGATGCTGGCGCCATCTTCGACCAGGGCTTTAACAAATTCGGTAAACCCAAGGGACGCGCAGATCTGTAGCGGCGGTGTCTGTTGGAATTGTGGCATCCTACTCACACTTGACTTGCCATGTTCCTCATACTCGTGGTAGATCTGGTATGCCGAGTTCATTTTGCCATCTGAATGAGCAAGCCTAAGGAATGCTTCCACTAACTCCTGGTCACCCCTTCTATCAGTCTCTTTGACATGCTCCGGCCATCTTGTTGCAGCATATTCGAGAAACGGATATCCACTCAGTCGGGAGTGGTATTCTAGGGCATCTTGTGACTCTCTCATCTCAAATTCTTCAGACGAAAGAAAAGTGAGGCAATCGATTGCAAGATGAAGATTGGCGTCCTTGTATGTGCTGTGGAACGCAGAAACGGGATACTGTTCGGATGCCATAACACCGGTACGAACACTAACGGCTCCTTCAGGAGAATCAAACCTTCTCATCAGTTCAAGGTTACCGAGAAAGTCTTTAACCGACTGATGAACAAAACGAACAGTATCGCGTTCGATTTTGAGGAGAGGACCAAAGAGCGAGCCAAAGAAATGGTCCAGGTTGTTTTCAACATGTTCTTGCATTATGGCGATTGATGTATGCTCCCGCTGGACCTTTAGAGCGATTACAATTTTCAGCTCTTCAACGCTCAATGGCCGTTTCGATAAATTGACCCATTCTAGGATGCGTTTGGCTTGTTCTCTTAGTGCGAAATCGATTTCCTCCAAAATGCTCGCGTAGATCGCGGGGATATCCTTCGGTAGTTCCTTTAATTGGGCGCGGATGCTGCTTGCACTAGTGCCGGGAGATTTTTCCAACCGATACAATGTGAGGGAAACCCAAAGAAACATTCCGCCCGCACCATCAAGAAGGGCTCGTTGTATATCATTCTCTAAATTACCGGGAAGCTTCTTTCGTTTGGCAAGTCGACTAACATGGTCGTTGATATATTGCAGAATGTCATTTTTGTTTCTATCCTCGAGTAGGATGGTTGTAAGGACTGGAAGGTCCCTTGTTGATGGCAGTTCCGGCCGGCTAGTAATGATCATTTTGAAGTTGTGATTCGCGATATCAAATACAGGGGCTTCAAACAGCTTCCTCAAGTTCTCTAAAAATTTATCCCGAGTCTCCTCTTCGCATTCGTCAAGGGCGTCCACCACGCAAAATATTTCCAACCCGTCTTTGTTCTTAACCAAGCATTCGAATACCTGCCATAAGCTCCCAAATCCCCATGTGAACTTTGACTCCGAGTCAGGAAGATATTCGCGCGGAATGTATTGGTAGAGAGATGGCGCTTGAGATAGAATCTGATATATTAGACTTCGGAGAATAGAGATGGCCGTATTCTGCTCCTCCCGCTTATCGTCGCAGAAGAAATAGGCTACAAGAGCAGTGTTTTCTGTAATATCTTCTCTGCGGTGATTTGCAAGCTGCTTGGTCACGTAAGACAGAAGAACACTCTTTCCGCTACCGGGATCACCGGATACCCAAAGCAGATCAGGGGATGTTGCTACTCCAACCCACTCCTTATACTCTTCACAGTCGAAAAACCAGCGGCATGTCCTCGCGTGGCGTTTATCAAATAGATCATCACGGAAGTGTTGGCAGGAAAATGCCTCAAGGGTGCGAAGGAATTCATTCAATTTTTCGCTCCCTAATATACATGTTTTTTTTTAGCCACAGATGGTATCTGATATTAAAATCCTAGTGGCCTTACTTACGATGGCGCATTTGCTCCAGATTTCTTTGTGCTATTGATAATTGAAGCAAAGTTAGCATCCCTAACGAAATTGATATCAATCAGATAATTTGGCAATACTTACAGCGCAACGCGAGGTACTGATCAAGACATTCCTTTATGTGACGGACCACAACCTTATAGTTCTCATCATCACGAGTTCCAAATTTGACCATGTTCGTATGGTCCTCGTTTATAGCATATCGATTTTCCTGTGGTAAAAATAATAATGCAGAAATGTTCCTGATCATAAGAACTGCTTCGCCCTCTCTTTTCCAATCTCCAGAAGCCGCCTAGATATTTTTTAGAAATATAAACCAAAAACCAAGGATTCGTAAGGTACACACCTTCTGGACAGTTGGTGTATCTTTCAACTCGTAGAAACTATATATCCTCATCTTCGACCAAATATGAATGAGTCTCTCTCTCTGTTCTTCCAAATATTCCGAATCTTCCCGAAGTTGTTCAAGCAGTCGGAGCCTGGTTGATTGTTTATTTGAAGATGTGAGATCTTCTACCATAGCCACAAGTGCATCAACCTTAAATCCAGCATGTGGAGCACCAAAAAAGAACACGGCGCTTGTTGCATCGAGGATGTGTTTATCGTCTGGATTACTCTGTGCTTGAAGTAAGGCCTAAAAAATATTACTTTGAGCGCAAAAAGACAAAGAGTCTTTTCATGGAGATTCCTTACCTGTGTAATCAGGATGCAGCCCAGACTGTGGCCCAACATAACAAGAGGTCTTGCTCTCTCCTAGAAAATTGTTATGGATAAGGCTTGTCTTGGCGTTCCGGAACTAACCTCTAACGAATTTCTTGCGGTTGACAGATTTTTAACAAAGGTCCTTCTAAACTCCAACAGCCCCCGTCTTCCCTCCTTTAATAGGCTTGAATTATAGCCGTATGTTAAAATGCGAACATTTTTCGGTAGATCACGAGGAAGGAAATCCTTCAGCCACATACGGTGGCTTTGCCGATTCTTCCAAGACCCATACGCATGCCCGCTGAAACCTGTTACTGCGACAACACTAAACGCCAAAGAAGAATTTGAGTCAGAGAAATGCTTAAATCTTGTGATCATTCTCCGGAACGTACTTACTCAATGATATTATCTCCCGTAGGTGTATTCACAGGCGTCAATCCGTGAAAATGAGAATCAATACTCAGATCCACTTCAATTTTCTCTCCTTCTTTTGAAAAGTGTCTAATAGTAATTGCTGTTGTTTCATCTGAATTGAGATTTTGAAAATATTGTAAAGGTAGCTCTAGATTTAACAACGCCGTTTGAGTGTTTCCTGAATATGCGGGGAAAAGAGATAGCCAGTGCTCCTCAAGTTTCTGTAATGATTCATCGAATGCCTGAAGATGCTTGACCAGATCATCCCTTGACCACTCGAGTGGGATACCTCCAATTCTCCAACAAATTGGCCTTTTTGGTAGAGGCTTGGCTTTCTGATCTTGCGCAAAAGCGGGTGCGAGGTACGTTATGAAAAGCGAAAACATTCTCAGAGTAGGCAGAGTATGTATGAAAGGATGAACGATGCGTAAATCATGTGCTGATTGCTTTGTATTTCTGAAGTTGGTCGAAAACAAATTATGTGGGCCAGGGGAGAAGTATATATGTTCTTTAGCGCTGAAGAATCCCTCAGCCTTGAGGCTTGCCGAGTTGCGCACATTCTGCAGGCCACATTTGAATACCAGGTTCCCCCAATCAGGTATGCAAGGCGAGATCCGAGAGCAGCCAGTACGAAACAGTGCCAACAAAGCAAGCCGGGGAACGAACCAGACGGACTAAACACCCATTTTAGAGAACTGCAGCCCGCCCTCGAGTAGGTTGGCTCCACTTAAATGCTCTTCCCAAATATTTTGCACATTGATAGGCGCGCTAAGCGCCTAGGCACCCGGCTGGACTGTGCATGGTTTTGGAATTTCACCGTCACCACCCAGGCTCGCTAAAATCGAGAGAATCACATGCACAAATAATAGACCTCTTCGAGTCTTGCGACAAGACATAATCACCTGGTCAGCCAGCCCAGAGAACCTCATTAAGCAGATTCCAACAATTAATTAGGCCTTACAAAGGAACTTTAGATTACTTATAGTTTTGAGTGATCGTAACATTTCACAGCAAGGCCTAGCTCGGATTTTGTATATGTGTTATCAACGATTCCGGGCTGTTGGTGATCGATATCTCGCTATCAGAGGTTTTGTTCGGATGTGGGTATGTATGAAGGAGTGAGGATGATTGTATTGAGTCGGTCGGTGCACGATCGATGTAATTCTATAGGTAGTGTGAGAAACTAACAGATATACCTAACTGAGTACTGAGTCGTTTTACCACCTACAGGTGTAACCTAGACCACAGTGTGGTAATGACGATAACGAGACTGAAAAGAGCGAAGGCGCGCCGTCCAGAATGTGACAATGTAGAAAGAGAAGGAGAGGCGAAGATTGGCAGGGGAACACCATACGCAGGGGAAACGAGGGTCCCGCTAACATATGTATGTAATTGATCGTGTATGTGCTGTTGTTAAATTCCAAAGCCCCTAAAGAATTCATTACGTAGGGTTAGGGTTGTTAGCAACTAGGGGCCCGTTTGGTTACACATTGAAACCGAGTTTTTGTGGGCAAATTTGCATAACTCCATTTTCACGGAATCTTTTGTGTTCGGGGTGCTATTTTGTAATGGAGTTGAAAAGTAGATCCTATTTTTCACACAAACCCCACCAAATTCATGTTGACAGCCAACATCATTACTCCGTTTTGAAAAATCTCCGTTTATGCTCGCCTAACGGACCCGTTGCCAGACGGAGTTTTGAAACACCAAAGCAACCAAACGGGCCCTAAGAAACCTTTCCAGCACCAATGCTCGAGTCCAAATGTGAAGTTGGTCACTTTGAGAAGCTTCATGTATGGCGGGTCGCCATATCGGAATATTCAGCCATAGCAGGAAGAAATCCGCCATTTTTGAAGTTCCCAAACCGCCAGGCCATTTGTGGGATTCCAAGACGGCGTAAGGAAAAAACCTTCGAAACATGTCTTTATATTACTTCTTAAAATATGTTAATAGGAATTCATTTGCAAATTGCAATTTTCTAATTGGTGTAGGGCCGGTAGCGGCTTTATTTACACTTGCGATAATAAGCAGGGCTTAGGGAAAGGTTGACAATAATTAGTATTACGCCTGTCTTTTGGGTTGAGAATAATACCGTGCTACAAAGGCACCTATAAAACTCTCTCAACTGCAAAAGAATGCTCAAATGACAAACTATATGCCAGCGCCATATTGGTAATTCACATATGGCCTGGCCGTTTGGGAACTTCTAAAATAGCGGATTTCTTCTAGCCATGACTGAATATTCCGATATGGCGACCCGCCATATATGAAACTTCGTAAAAGGACAATCTTCGCATATGGACTAGAGCACCAACGATTATTTTTCTTGTTTTTCTATGGCTTCCAGCTGTACATGTTCTTTTGTATTCTTAAAAAGGGCAATGCATAGAGAGTGAGAATAAACAGCCCACATCAATGCTATTTTCCCCACAAAGGAAAGTCCTGGAGGGATACATAGTAGTAAGCATTGGACCTTCTAAGCCACCGCGCGCCGTTGCAAGAAAAGAAAAATACACAATAGAGCGAAGCATCCTCCACTAGATAGAGCTTGAGGTAAGCTTGGTGCGAGATCAGGTATACGCAGTTGATAGCCGTGCTCTCGATCACGGTCGGTTGCACTTTTGATACCATCACAGTGGCCTCTGTGAGCTGCGTTGAAAATATCACACCTACTGCCCTCGGCTAGTAGACTGATCTTCTTTTTGCCGATCTTTCTTTTGCCGACTTTTTCTTTGCCCATCTTTCTTCTCTGTCATCTTAGAGGTCAATGATTCACAGAAAAAAGAAAAGAGATGGCAATAGTGATAGCTAGGGTTCATTGAAAAGAATTGAAAGCTCCGTATTAGTGGTTGTGGAGGTGGATAAGAAAAAGGGTACCGAAGGGTGTTGGTGAGATGATTGCTCATGAGTGTGGATATTGAATACGTGTAACCACCTCCGGATTTTCACGTTAATTGGATTACACAGAATTTGCCAATCTCAATATATGGTCATGCAAAGAAAAATGAATAATATACACATAAGTTCGATATCATTGTAATAAATCAGAGTACTATTGTAGCTGCGCGAATAGATACTAGCCTATACTGTCATGACTTTTGTGTTCAGCGTTGAACATACTATTATGGGCTAAAGCACAGGTCATCTTTCAATATCTGTAAGACCCATTGGCCCAGGACATACAGACATTATAGTTGGGCGACATGTTAAAACCGAGTGGACTTTTATCCCATGAGCACAACAGGCAAAATCTATTTTGCTCTCGCTGCAGTACTGAGTAATAGATACTCAGAACGTGATGAGATGAAGCACGCCTCTTTGATGTAAGGTTCGCTCTTCAACTTCCCTTCCCCTCACCCGAAGACACAAGGTGTCGAGTTAAAACGCATGCAGGTAAACGTACAAGTGAATTTTACACACTGTGGAGAAATGTGTCACAACACCTGCTGTCATCTAATTACCCAAACCACACGTACATACCCTCCACAGCATCAACAAGAGTTCTATCTTGATAGTATATTTTCGCCAATTAATGCGGTTGCGGCTGCCAAATTTTCTAGATTTATTTTTAAAACAGACTGGAGAGTATATTCAGGTCGGGGGAAAAGCTTAAAGGTGGAAAAGCTGTCGAGGCTTGCCTCGTCTTGTCTCGTTAGTCCTCAGATCTCTTCGCTTTACCGAAAATCTCGAGAGAACATGTCTCGTGCCAGTCACTCGATGGGGGAAGGTTTCAGGTAGGTGCGGGGACGAGGAGGGGTCGAGGGCGGGGGTGGGGGTGGCGTGTTACTATGCTGAGGCTTCGACAACAACAACGGTGGCCTTTTATGTAACGCCGCAGGCGTACTTCCCTCAGGGTCTGCGCGGAAAACCATGTGGAGCTAATTATTGAGTTAAACAGGGGGTTAATAAAAAAGAATACGTAGCGCTACAAAAACGAGTGACAATCAATGACCCACCACCGAGTGAGCACCGGTGACCAGCCCACCACCACCGAATAATACATCATTGTTGAAATAGTACGCTCAGCACATTTCATAGTATTGGAGGATTCTCATTTGTCATCATGAGTCACGGGTTTTGACTCATTTTCTCTCTGGTATTTATTAGTCATGTTTTTCTATTACTTATACGGCTATGATTCACTATGTTTTGTGTTGCCTTTCTTTAGTATAAATATGGGGCATTCCCCCCTCTAGTTAGTTGGAATAACACGCTCAATTACTACACTTCTCTACATACATTTTCTCTAATCATAACCCATCCCTATATCCACCCAAGGCAGTAACCCCAATAAAAAAGAGTGCGGACCCCAGTCTGACGGTATGATTTAATTTGCCGGAGAAAAACCTCCTGAGTACTAGCGTAGAAAGCTGTGGATGCTATAAAAGGGCGCGTTTCAGAGGCTTCGGGGACTGGTTACTTGGGTGATGTTTTATAACGAAACCACAGGATTGAGCCGTATCTCTCTGGATTTGTGGACATGAGAAGATCACGAATATTGCGATCTCGCAGGACTGAGATATATTAGATGCAATATTACAGCAGTCCTGGCCATCGAGGTTAGGGGCGAAATCAGGCGGTGGGACTCAATTCTAGAAATCTCACATGAACCGCGGAAAACTTATTTTTATACAACATACCTTTCTTTGTAAAGAGCCCGCCAAGACGAACAAATGACCAGTCGCCACCGTCAAGGGAAGTGAAAGTGAAGCTCTTTCTCGGTAATTTCTCCGCTCTTTACAGTACTTCAAGAGTAATTCGCATGAGTAGCTAAAATAGTTTATTCGTTCCTCACAAAAAAGCAATTATGGGATGATTGGTAGAATTCGAATTACTAGTAGTAGAACGATTATATTCGTCATTCGTAGTAATGAACAAAAGCACGGCAGCGTACTCGTTAATAGCAATAGTTATAGCCATCGTTCCCAAAAGAATAACCCTAACCCTGATCTTAGGGGCAGGGTTGAATAGATCAAGCTATATGTTAAAAGATTACAGGTGATTCATGATCATGAAGTTAAAAGTATTCGAGAAAAGAAATGAGCTACTCTTAGAGCCAGAGCTTGGTTAGGGATGGTGGGTGAGTGATATGCTATGATTGCAGTTGTGCGTGATGTTGAGAGACCTCTTCTTATTTTGTAGAGAGGGGCACGAGACAAGTCATCCAGGGACTAGTTAGGCCACGAGATATTTACAAAAACAACAGGAGACATGGGGGCTGACAAGACAAGACGAGACAATATTGGGTCTGGAGGGAGGTCTGGAGACAAATATCGAGACATTTTTGACTTTTTCTTCCCACTGAATGTAAACTCCAGGTTCGGTTCCAAAAGGAAATAAAAAGCTTTGGGTTTCTCATTTCTATGAGATCGAACGGTTTCATGGACTTTGTGGTATAGCGAGGTTTCCGTCGGGTAGTAATACCTCGTGATCTACACCGATGGTTCTATCGCCTGACTGAGCTGTTGCATCTCTCACCGCCGCCACCCAAGCCCAAGACGTTCTTCAGGTCTTTCCTAGATGATAGAGCTACACAAAAAGGTTTTTTTTTTTGTTTCATAGTTTCTATTATTTCTGGGTACATGAATATCGCATGGAGCTGAAGCTATGATGTGAGCAGGACCCCTCCTATCCCCCGCCTGGTCCTTTGTTATAGTAACTATGGTCTGATACCAACCGCACATCTTCTTACAAAGCAGACGACAAGAAACTTCCCCTGACTTCCACGAAACGAAAAACACAACAAATGAAAGATAAAAGAGTAACCAAATAGCTAATATAGTCATACCGCCTGATGGGTCCCCGATCGAATGCAGTGTAATATCGAAAGGGAAGTCCTTCCTGTGGGGCTGAGCCGGTGTCAAGAATTTAGCCGCTACCCAGCCGGTAGAAAGAGATTTAGCCAAACTTAGCTGAGGCTCGGTCCGGTTATTGAGGGAGGGGAAACTGCAATGTTTACTGTTTTCCACAGTGAGGATGCGTTACCCAAGGAGAGAAAAGAGGTGGAGTTCTTCGGTGAGGAGAAGGCTTCAGATAGAGTAGAAGAGTTCAACCCGGAGAGGAGATGGCCAAGAGGGTACATTGTACCTGAGAAGGAGGCTATTTCCAGAGGGAAGAAGGAGGGAGAGGAAGGACTGGCATTGGCAATGAAGCCTAAGCAAAGTCTTTAGAGGAGGTATGACCCCGCTCTTCGTCAAGTTTTAGCGGAGTTGAGGAAGGGTGTTGAAGGAACAAGAAGGGATGAGCTACACAAAAACGTTTTGATGCACACAACAGATGGGGGATTTCCCGGTTTGGGCGAAAAAGATTATCGAGGCAGTTACTATTACCCTAGTATCTCATGGGCAGCCCCTTGTTCCAAGTCCACAGCCTCCTCCGTACTAGGGTATTACTTCGTCTGTCGATGCTGCTCACCCTATCCCTTAAGCTGTTACTTAAATGCTGCCAACATAAGACACGGTAACACCAGGCGAGCCTCGCACGCAAGCCATAGAATTGAGACATAATACTTGGCAAAGTTGGCAGCTTTAACATCATAAGGGATAGGTATATATAAACTTTCCAGGTACCTCCACCGATATATATAGTGGCACTGCTTAAGTTCAACCATGGACCCAATTTACCGCGCCCGCCTGGCCATCCAGCCGACTCAATTTACCATTCGGCCAAAAAGCTCCTCCGAGGCCACAAAGATTTCAATGGAGGTATTAATAACCAATACGTAAAACTACCCTACCAAAAGCATTTCTATCTCTAACTGTGATAGACGGTACAATTACCCTGTTACAGAGATCAATCGTTACCGGCGTGAGGCCCGCTATGACGATGTCCGCCATGCCCATTCTCGTCTCACAAACGCCGTCGCACTGGACCCTCCGTATGGGATCTTGATGCCTATCGGGCTAATTCGGGGGAAAGAACATCGGCTGTCTCCTCGTTGGAGCTCTGAGCTTGAGCGTCTGAATCGTTTAGAGTGGAAGGAGCCAGGATTATTTTATGGTTTTGACTGGTTTGAGGGGGAGTCCGTGGAGGATTGCAACTCGGCGTACAAGCGGGCGTATGGTTGGGAATAAGCGACTGGAACAAATCCACCCCCTATTTATATTATCCTTAGGCAGTCAGTCCAAATCGAAATCGACACCGAACCAGATATGGTAGTTATGCTCTGATAAACGCAGTTCCTGTTTGTTCTGTCCTCGAGTTTCTTCTCACACGCTAGAATGCTCCACCTTTTCCACTAGAGACAGGGAGAGAATGAACAGTAATTACGTTCAACTGAGCACACCCAGCCATATCTGGTTCGGTCACGATTTCGACTTGGACTGACCGCCTAAGGGATAGCTTCTGATAGACGTCCATGACTAGAATAATTGATATACACTCTTCTTTTGAAAACATCTGACCCGTATTTCACCCCATTCCTATACGCATCCATCATTCTTTTAGTTCTTGCCCAATATTTCCAAACCAAATTTGGAGATACAGAATCAAATGCAATGGGCACGGTTGTTTGTAATGCTTTCCAATTGTATGAACAGTTTGAGCGGGTGTAATGTTTTGCAGGGCCCAAAAAGTATTCAATAATTCAGTTCGCAGTAGTATTTTGGGTAAAATACTACCATGTGTCCGGCAGCTTCAATGACTTGTTGCCAACCCGCTCCGCAAAATCAGGTTGACTAGCCAGAAGTGTGCACGCACAACAGTTTCCTCCTTTTAGGCAATCCTTATTGAGTCTTTTGCTAGTTGGGGTTAAAATTGAGCATTGGGCAAGAAATCGACCAGTGAGAGGCCATAATTCTCTTTCCATCAATACCAGTCTCAAGCCTTTATATCTACCGTCTGGTACCTTCATTGACTGTATGACTTTCTGTCCATCCCTGAAATAGTATCCGTCCCGCATGACTGTGGTTGACTTTTGAAATGGTCATTACCGGTCCAAAAAAGAGCTTTGGACTGGGCCAGACCATTTTGGAAAAGCATGGACCGGGCCAGACTGGACTAAATCATGATGGACCGGTCTGGACCGCATATCTCAGCCTTACCGATGTTGGTGACAAAAGCATATATTTATGGTTTTAAGCCCTTTTCTAGTCAAAACTTTCTTGGACTGAGTTTATTTTCGCCTATGCTCCCTTATATTGTATGTGGAAAAGGGGTTTCTGAATGGACCAAATATCACCAGATGGACCAGTCTATTTTTAGGCATTGACTGGACCGACCATTTAGAGGAAATAATGATTCCGGACCGGACCGACCATTTAGTGGACCGGTCCGGACCGTATAAGTCACGGACCACTTCAACCTCTGTAGACTAAGACTAAGACTCCGTCACTTCAATTTTCTGGTTCTTTTCATGTTAAACGAGTATGTCTGCTCGTTACGCAAGAACCGTCGACGACAACTAAGGCTCCGTTCGGACCGCCCGAATTGTTGCGGATTTGTATTGTAGAATAATGAAGCAGGAGGAAAGCTCCGTAATGTGGTGTTCGGACAGCCCAACTTATCCGTTAAGTTAGTTAAGGACAATGAGGTTTTGGTGGCTTTCAAATAATTACATCGAGAGGTGATTATTGGGGCTTAGTAAAGAGTCCTCTCTGATAATACAATACCTGGATCCTCAATGTTGTGTGGCCTGATAATTTTCTCTTCCGAATTCCATCAGGCCAGAGAATAATGACTTACCTGTCTCAGGTCAGTCACGGACTTTCTTCTTTCAGGCGCATTATCATTTCTTTCCTCGTCCGAATGGAGCCTAAGGCATGACCACCGATCTTAGTTCCTTTTGCATAGTTACCGCTCAAATTGTTCGCCATTGATGGAGATGGACATGATTGTATTATTTCGCACAACTATGAATAGGTAGACGTACTACTCTAGTAGGTACTGGCAGCCCTTTGGCTATGACACATCACGCCCACTCCTCCCACTCTCCTCATCTCCCTATTCAACGGAAAACAGGTTAGGTAGATATACCCCTATCCAATTCCTTTTCCTATCTCCTCTCATTGAGTAAACCACTGACCCATTCCTAATAAGTGGCCACCTTCTCAAAGATTTCCCTCCTATAGTAGTGACTCGACTTTGTCAAATCACCTGTTCCACGAGGTCGCTTGCGGAAACCTCTGCACCAGGACAGGATAGTTAACAATGGCATTGATGTCCTTTGTTTGCCATGCGATACCGGTCATTTCAGTGGTCTGCGCATCTCACATTGTGTAACACGACAATATGCACACGTGGGGTAAAGGATCCTGCGCACTCTGCCGGCTAAACGGTTGTAGATCTCTTCGGCCCGAACCGAAACGTTCCGGGCGGGGATTGACTCAGGCTGTCCTCACTGACGTCAAGCATTGTTCAACCTTATTTGAACCGTATGATTTAAACAGTAATACGAGTGGTCCGTGGTTCATACACCGATTACGGTAGTACAATTGATTCGTTATGTAGGTGTCCAAAAGCAAGTCGGAAACGCCTTCGCGAGGGCGCCAAGGATTATTCTCCGGCGAAGATCTCAACCAGCTATTCCCACTGCCTGCTAGTGCCTAGCATGATTCCCTCAGCATTTGAGGGTTCTATTCCGTTTCCAATGGTGATTCTTCTGGTAGCAGTGTGTTAGGTCTATTTTGGCATCTTGCCCAACCTTTATCCCTTAAACCGTCAGGCCGAATTCAAATAATGGGACTCTAACTTGAGACTAGACATTTTGCTTTGTCTTGTTCCTTCGCTCCTTTTCGCAATGTTTTGTTTTATCTCGTATGTCTCAGGGCAAAGTCTCAGGACGTTTTGTCTTGTGCCGTATAGCTTGATCTTGATAGCGCGTCACAGAGTATCACTCGTATATTTCGAAAGGTCTCCAGACTAGAAATTTTGTCTTGTCTTGTTTTGTCTTCTCTCATTATCGCAATGCTTTGTGTTGTGGACAAAGTCTCGAGACGTGGTGTCTTGTGCTTAGCACTGGATATTTTTATATCGACATGGCGGCGAGTGGTGTACCATGATCGAGTCATCGAGTGATAGAACATGATGCCCTTTCCAGGGTCCCTGCACCTCACGGTCGCATCGCGTGTTCAACTTGCGGAAGGCCGGGGCCAAGGCGAGCTGAACCAAGCTTCACTCTCGCCCCTATCGCCTTGGTCAACGCGCGGCCCGGTTTCTATGCGGCTGTAACGGGGGGCTCGGCATCGCCGCCCCGCCATTCCCACTAGTATTTACCAGCTGATGCCTCGAAATTTCAACAGACCCCCGCCTCCACCGCCGCCTCAGATCGCAGCACTGCCTGTATCAGCGTCAAGCACCACAAGCCCCGCCACCACCACCACCACCATCACTATTACTACCACTGGTAGAATATGTCCCGGACTCAAGTACAGTGCGTGGTCTTTTGTTGTTTGGAGTCGAGAAATACGCCTGGCTGGTTAGGAGGAAAGGAGGAAAGGAAGGTACGAGCGTACGGTAAAGTATTTATCGATTCTTTAATTCTTCTGAGGTTTGGCCTAAGGTTATGTATATGTAGTCGCAGGTTCGGTAGGCCGGGAAGCCTTGTGCACAGTAAGGACCTTAATGCGAGACTTACGTGGATATAACTTGGTGAGGCTCCTCTGGAGAGAAATGTGTTATTACGTTACTGGACTAGGAAGACATGAAATCGCGATAGCGTTAGGGCTGCATGCGATTAATGAATTAAAAAAAAAAAAATGAATCAAACACTAAGCCACAATCGAGTGATATCCTGTGAACTACTAGCTCCGTCCACAAATTAACATGCAGCCTCACGACTTTTCTGCCCGCCTCCCAAGTAACACCAATCCTCACATCGCTCCACCTCCACTGGCGATTATCAATTCGGGCGTGACTGCGCAATGGAGCACACCTCCCGCACCGACTGATGCATTCCACCTTCCAAGCGCACATCCACACCAGCTGCCACCACCGCCGTGACCTCCCCCGCCTCCTCTGCCGAAACGCGAAACAATAGCTCCGACTCCACAGCGTCCCGGAGAAGCTCCAACACCCCTGCATCACGTGACTCGCCCGCCATGGCATCAAAAAGACGTTCGTACCACACCCCACTCCACATTCCTTATCCACACCACCCACCCATTCACTAACTTAACCAAGTTAACCCCCGCCGCCGTGCCAATTGCGGTGGCAGGGTCAATGGAGATCAAGTACACACACCGCGGCTCAGCACGCCGCGTGCAGTATGATGCGGGAGTGAGGTTCCAGGGAACGGACCTTCCGCTCCTAGTCGTTGAGATCGCGGACGGGTACTGTGAGGCAGACGTGTAGCACCGATAACGTCGGAGACGGTGTAGCAGGCAGCGTTGGTGGCGGTGCAGCCCCCTGGGTTATTAATGTGAGTGATGTCCCTGTGGGTTCTGTGAGACAGCCCCCCCGGGTGGGGGGGGAGGGGGTGAGTCGTACAGTAGAAGCTATAGCCGTCTACGCAGCATTGCGCGGCGGGGAGGCATGTGCTGGCGCACTAGATCTCGTCAACGGGGCAGATGAGGGAGGTCATGGGAGCAGTGGATATATGTATTGGAGCAGTGGAGAGATCGGAGGTGGAGAAGCTCAAGGGGTATGTACAGTATCGTGCGAGGTTTGTTGTTTACTCTACTTCTATCCCTTGGTGTCTTGGAGCGTGGCATGAAGCGTGGGGATGCATTTCAGCTACATGTTATTTGCTTTTAAGTTTTTTGTCCGGCGCATGCGGACAGCTGTTTTTGCACTGGAGCGGCATATCTCGGCAACACTAGATCGACCTACATGTAGCTTGGCTAACAGAATACCATGATGACTGGCTGATATATATATACCTATACCAGAGCTACTCTACTCGTAGATTCATGAGGTTTCCGAACAAGACCGGGTCCGCACGTGGTTGCATAGGACATACGGGATCGGTTTGAGCCAATAGGAAAGTGAAGGTTGAGAGCTCCGCACTGGGAGCTTGGGGAAGAGCCCGGTACTGGGAGCTGAAGTGAAAGAGAGCTTTGTTGACGCGTTGAAGTTTATAAATAATCCAACAAATACGAGTGACAAAACTAGCACTCCTGGCTTTTGAATAACATCGCGATTACATTCCCGGCATTGTACGGAACGAGTTCGTATTCTGGTATGGTGCGCCCAATCATAAAGGTAGTCAAAAAATTGGGGCGAGGTCGAGGTTGAATAACTTTCCAACGAAACAAATTATGAAAAATCCGGTTGGTAAAATTGAAGTACTAGTGATGAAGAAGAACTTTACCAACCAGATTTTTGATATCTCTCCTGGTTAAAAGGTTATTCAAGCTTGAAATTCGGTATTTTAGTATGTAAAAAGCGCCAAGACTAAACAAAGTGGAACAGTATTATACCCATTTATACCCTTAAAGAAGCAAACCTGATCAGGCCATGGCAGTGATGCAGCAGAAGGCTAGAAATGGGCCCTCTTATTGGCCCATGAGGCCATATTGCAGCCACAATTGTTCCACTTCTGTATCTTCCGTATGCCACCCCATCACCTTTAAGAGTGTGCGCACCATACGTACCTTCATGTTTAATGAAACTGTTCCACCTAAAACCCTCCCACCACACTAGTGATAATTTCAGACGCATGCGCTTACCAGAATAGTCGGTCGAACCATAATGACCTCTCAACCGTCTTGGCAATTAACCCCCGAGTGATAATTGATGACCTGATCTTGGCACATTGTCCCATATGGAATAGTCAAGTGTTTTGAAACGGAATGGTTCACCAAACTCTGCTCGTCTTTTTTTTGTACATGAATGTCTTTCGAGTCTAAACTGTGCAGATACACGCGGTAGTTCTTTCCGCCGATCTTAACTACCAGGGCAAGCCGCTCCCCTGCCCACATTCAACACCTGGCCTGGTATCTTGTGGGTAGGAGGAGCATCAAAATACGACTTTAGCTGAAGCCTAGCCTCATCACCTGTGCCAAGGTGCCAGCCTCCACCGCCATACACTACAAAGCCTAGCTAAACGGTCCATCTTTCCCCTCTTGATCCTTAATACACCCTTCTGTTTATACCGCTCGCAGGCGACATGTCCTGATAGGCATGCGTCCAGCGACCGTATTCGGCGCGACTGAGAGCATAACCGTGCGGCGCCGCATAATTAGTGTGAAGCGGCGCGCCCAGCGCTCATGAGCGGGGAATAATACCGCAGCGGGCAAGGCACGGAATAAACGTAATTTGACCTGACTCGAGCGGCGGCCTTTTAGATAAAGCCAACAAGCAAACAGAAATAATAACAGCGGCGGCCTTTGATGTGAGGGCGCGCGGGACCTGAGGCGTACCTATGTGGCGCTGTATGCGTCAAGTCGAGTGACAGTGCATGGCCGCACAGCCACGAGTGATATACCATGATCCTCCTGACTACCGACTCTAAATATGTTGTCGCGTGCAAGCTTGGTTGATTTTGCAATTGAAACTGAAAGTAATAGAACTCATAGGTGGGAGAAGCTGTGGGTGAATGGGGGTTACGGTTTGTGACCGTACCACTAGTAACTTCCTAACCCTGACCCTGACCCTGGAACGTGAACCTGCAGTTCCACCACAAGAGCCAATGGCCTTATCAGGAGATTATAGGGACTTGAAATGGTGCGGTATAACCACCTTCCCTGTTGCTTGGCTATAGGCGCGGGGGCTTCTGAAATTATGGCATGGAGTGTTTGTAGTTTGAATACCGTATTTAGGGTGGGAGTGGTTAATCATGTTATCAGCTGATGAGTAAAGTTGGATTCTTTCCATAATCCCAAATGGGACAATTATGCAAGTAAACGTAAAAGAGTGGCTGCGTTGCTGTAAAAAGAACTAACCATAACCCTACCAAATAGCCAATGATTGATTGATGGACGATTCGTGCCGGGTAGACAAGCTGAAAATGGACGCGGTGGAGAGGCTTCGGACACTATGCCTTTGGAGTTTGGTAAGAAGGCCGTGGAGTCATGAGGTATATCTTCTTTGATTTAGGGACGTTGCAGGCCGCCTTTGTGCCCCCTAGAGTCTACTGTAGAGTCTAAGAATAGAAACAACCGAATGATCAAACGTGGCGGTGGGCCGAACCATCGATGATAGCATTGTGTGAGGTGATAGCTAAGAGACGGAGAGAGATCTAAGCTAGAGTAGCAGTGCCTACTTGACATTACCTGTCCATGCCCGCCTATCCGCCTGGTTGCCACCTATGCGCTTAGTCGCTTATCTACATGTAGTGTTGTCTTTTATGCTTAGTGGTGTGCCATGCGCTACAACGTGGTGGTTCGCCGCGGTCTCGATCCTGCATTTGTTCCCAACCATGTTCGATGGACCATTATGGAAATGCCGAGAGTCAATCGGGCGGTGGGACAAAGATCAATAGGGTTCAGAACTGCAGCGTGGGCCACAAAATAGGTCTTTTGTGCGGCCTTTAGGTTTATCTTAAGGAAGGTAAGACGGACACTGCTCGCCAAAAAATAAATTCAGTAATATGTAGGTAATTCCAGTGTGGTTGCCACGGAAAATGTCCACAGATTTTTTTTTGGGCGAGCTGTCCGCGTGCCACTGCCTGCTCTTTTTCTGTAACCTCCTTAAGGGCTTGTTCGGATGCGGCATGCTTTTAATACCATGGTATTTTCGGTTGCGTGGTATTTCACCTCCAAACGATATCAGGTATTGCCTCTGTACTTGGGTGTTCGGCCAAACATAATTTGGGGCAAATATCTTGGTAGGGGTATTGCGGTGGGCGATGGGGTGTTGTGGATGTTGGTTGAATAAAGACCTCTGGAGGTATTTATTGATACCATGGTATTTTTACGGAATTTCATGGTATTGTTACAGAGAAATTTTGCTTACCGAACACTAAAACACTATGGTATCCTCAAGCCATGGTATTTCTGCCCATCCGAACAGACCCTAAACGTTTTGTGACTTTTCAGGAGGTGTAAGTACCGTGATATTTGATATTCTACTCCGGGAGGATCACCCTTATCGTACCGCCCAGCGACTCTCCCGAGGTTGTCTCAGCAGCGAGAAAGACATCCTAACTGCCTGAAAGGTACTTAAGCACGGAATTTCATACGTGTCCGAATACCGCGGGCGGTTACCAGGTCATGCCGTACGACCAGGCTTTGCAATGGGTTGGGCCGCCCTATGAAAGGCTCTAGGAACAGGGTTCATTGTATCTTGGTTTAGCTGGTGGGGTAGTTGATGCCTTTCGGCTCTTGTACGTGTGATATTTCACTGACATGACACCATTTCGGTCGTAATTCTGCTCTGACAAGTACTTTATGTTTTGCGTGCCACGACTATTACGGATTAGAAAACCCCCTTTTGTACTACTAAGAAAATGAAAGAAAAAAGACGAGATATGAGTAATTTCCATACGAGTGATATTCTATAACGCCGCAACCTATACCTGGACGAACCCTAGCCCACCCCTCCGCGGTTAAGTAATTACCGACTTTCAGGCCGCCATTATCGACAGGTTAATAATAATAATACCCTTTGTTTACCAGTTTCATTTCTCACCTCCCTATACATGATCCGGCCCCACTACCCTTTTTCAAAATCCACCTTCCTCGAACACATCTCCAATAGCTACTATGTCGTTTCATGGCACTTGGTACTTTAACGGGAAACTTCCACCTGAGTCGCTTTTCTTCGTAGATGGTCAGAGGCTTTCGTGGGAGATGGTATGTAGGATATAACGCTCTCACTTTCTCCCGCTGACTATGCCGGAAAACAGCCGTGCAGATTTCTTCTTGGTCTGTTTCAGGACCCTGGAGGATATGGCATTCCCAAGCAATATCATAATGACTTAAAGAGGATCCAAGTCGTCTTCTTTCCCTCTTTGACGTATTTCACACATTTCCTGTTGTTCTTTTGCGCCTGTAAGCTAACTGTCTCTCTCCAGTGTGGGAATAGTGGATATGCTAGTAAACAATTGGGTCGCGTCGACGTAGGTTCCTCCGCGTGTTCCCTAAAGGACGGCCATGCATGACTAACCACGAACCTCAGGAACTACCAGGAAAGAAGGACGATGTTGAACTTTGCCCCATTCCAAGCACTTCCTCATTTCAGAAGGATCACAGGGGGAGCGGGATCTGCGGAGTTTATTACATTTGGTCACCTCCTAGTCCGATTCCATAACACTTATACCCAACTGTTTACCGCCATTGACGCTATTGCATATATATTTTCCATCGCTGATCCTCCGGAAGGCGTTGCACTCACACCAGAGCTGTTTTTCCTGCCTCTGCTAAGGAAATTCACGCAATTTCTATACTTCCTGCACCCCAACCGAGAAGCGTGTCCGAAGGTGATGTGCATTGTCACGCTGAAAAGCGGGGACAAGGTCCAATGGCTCCTAGGAGCTAGCCTCGGCAAATTCAAAACCGATCATAGATCTTGGGATCCACAATTGAAATCCAAACTTGCCGGGGCTCGGTGGATAGTAATGTCAAGGCTTCTAGGGTTAAATCCGAGGATAGTAGCACCTGTCGCGAGTGGGCAGGGTTGGGGAAATTGTGCGGAGAGCTTGCCTTTTGCTTGTCTTTTGAGGTTTGTTGCCCGGTTTGGTCTCGGGTAGCGGCGGATCATAGCTGATGTGTTTGTAGGGGACATGATTCCAGATCGGAAATGGTGTGGGGCACGGCAGTAATGTGGGAGGGTAACCGGCCAGTCCAGTGGAAACCTCCGTGTAAAAATTGTCAGATGCTGCTGGGGCTAATGAATGTGAAGCATTACTAGAGAAGGGGGGCGGTTTAGCTTCTAAATATATAACATGGAGTGGGAATAAGTATAGTTATCGTGAAATCTATATAGATTTGCCGCAGAGTTTAAAGCTGAGAATCTGTATTCGTGATGTGAATAGTATTAATGCACATAGCACGAAAAAAGACAATACCTCCCTTGATTTTATCTCGTGTTATATCTAGCTATAGAGTTTACCGTGGCCGAAGAGACATAGGTAGGTATCCATCGCACAAAGTCTTGATACCACAGCTGGGTTTAAACAACACGCTAAAATCAGGGTTAGAGTTCATCTATACATGATCTTACACCTGAAAATGCTCATCTTTCAACACTTTTCAACTTTTTGAGACGTCTCGAAACCACCTGCAATGAGTCTCAAGAATACTTGTCTTTCCCACCCACCGATCACGATTCCTCTCGTATCGCCTAAGAACAAAATCTTGAGACCGTTTGTGTTATGTGCATCACTTCCACTAGATGTAAAGCATTTATAATTGAATAACGTTTCCATAAAGATTCGGAAATAATATCACCCATCCATGTCTTACCAGACAGGGGATTGCCCTCTCGTGGGCGGAATAAAAGAATATGGTTTGGTTCTATAGTTCATGTTCTATCCCTTGCACAGTCAGTCTGAATCCGAATGACAAAATTAACCCCATAAGGCAGTTCTGCTGTACTCAATGCTGTAAACATTGATTCTTCAATGAGTCGATTGTCATACGTTAAGGGGATGTACTAAGTCTATGACTGAACTAATAATGCCAGAGTTCAGTAGAGCATATTTACCAACCAAGGCTAATTATGTTGTTCTAATTCGCACTGACTATCTAAGCAAAGTCTTATGAATATAAATACCTATAGGGTTTCGATATCATATACTAGAAGACCGAAAAGAATTGCTCTATGGCTACAATTCTTTGAAGTTCCTTCAATAGATAAATTAATTTTCAGAGACTTTGATCTTCTGGTACAAACAACCATAACGCTATTATAGGCTTACTTTGCAACAGTATTGTGAGACTAGAAGCTCACTATGAAGACTAGATAGTAGTGATAGGCACGAACCGAGCTGGCTCGAGCTTTGAGCTCGAGCTTTAGGCTCGAATAGGTCGAGCTCTGTTAGTGATGAGCACGAGCCAGCTCGAGCCCATATCCAAAAGGCTCGAACCTAGCGAAACATTAGTAATGTTTCGAGAAAGCAAGAGCTTGGTGATTTATATGATAATATATCCCCCATTATTCATCCTGAATACGAAGTCTATATGCCGACTTACTGTAAGGTCTATTTTTAGGTATAAATATGAGAGCTCGAGCCCTACCCCGGGCTCGTCTCCAGCCGGCTTGTGCCCATCACTCCTAGATAGCCGTCCTGGGAGCGACAATATTTATATGTAGCTATAATAATTATAGGTCTGAATGAGACTACATATATCAACCCCGTCCCATGTAGCTTGTCCTGTCCCCATAACCATTAAATTATAATAGCAGAATATAGTTTATATGTGTAGCGTTTCTAGACTGACACATGAGCCTTTTCTCACTCACATGGAGCAAGCTGGCTTGTACACTTAACACGACGCTACTAGGGGAGTTCCGGGCTATGCTACCTTCCTAAATGGAACTATTAAGAATAGCCTTTCGGCTCCTACCTCTGGACGACGTTAGTTAATCCACTAGAGTTTATGTTCCCATCACTGAACTTCCTTTGCGACCCGGTTATGGCTTCAGTTCGGATACATGTGTAAATACCGAGTGATAAACCATGATCCCTTACCGTTGAATGAGCCATGCTAAGGCTCTCAGTGTCGACTTCTGTATCCGTATATTGAGGGTTCTAGCAGGTTTCTTTCCCAGGGTATACAGTTCCAATTGGGAATATTAAGGGTGACACTATTCTTGAAGGGCATACGGTTTCCATTATTAATGTAGGCATTGGCGTTTGCTAAAGAGATGATGTAGAAAGATGGTCATGCAATGATTCTAGTAGGGTAATCTCAGACACAATTTTGAGGTTGCCCGAGAACCGTCGCCCCACAATTTCCGGCTCCGTGGCGATGGGTTGAACAGGACGACCCGAGTCCATTCCCATCATCGGGTATGCACATATAGGGGGTCGTGATCGTGATTGCAGTGGCGGAGGTGGTCGTTGGGGCCTGTTGAGTAGGGTAACTCACTGTGAGTCTTGGCGATCTGTCCTGATTCACTCCCGGCACCGCCACTCACCGTGCGGGCACAACGATCAATGACTGCGTGGTACCGAACGCACCATCTCGATCCCACGATCATGACGGCGCACAAAATTCAATGATGCCGCGTTTCCTTATCCTCTGCTTCGATTGAATACATAAATTTTGGATTCCAAACCCCGGGTTACCACATCGGGCGAATCCCACTACTTGTCTCCGCTGTTTCTTCTTACGCTAACTCGGATACTGACCTCCAGGTTACCACCTCGGGTGAATCCCGCTCCTTGTACCCGGTGTGTTTTCTAATACTCATTCAGATTACAATCTCAAATCACGCTATGCGCAATACCTGCAACCCAATCTGTGAGTGACGATCCATGACCCACATTCCAGATTGTGTATTATTGCAGTCTGGTTTTCCATCTCCCATGTTAGGGTTTGACAAAATTACTAATCAAATGGATCACTTCTGGTAACTTACATGATTATGTTTTTCCGACCCACACACGGAATTCTTTTGAAACATTTCAGGTTATAAATGTAAAAAGTATAGGATTTGAGTATACATGTTTGAAAATGTCTGAAAATAACCCTAGCTATATCAGTAAAAAACGGGTTTCATTAAGACGAGTTCGAGCACCCATAAATTCAAGTTCATCTCCCGCATCAAAAATCTCCTCTGTCCTTTTAAAAATCTCGTCCCGCTACTACAAAATGTGATAAGTCATTTTTTGACGACTAGTAACCATCCAAAATATGATTTTTCGTTCTTAAACGCCTACTAGGCGTCCGAAATATGACCCCTGGTCTTTCAACCCCTGGTAGGTATCCCAAATATTATTCTTTGCCTCTTGACGCCCCATTTCCTCCCAAAAGATTACGCACTGTAGTGAATCTGTCTAATTGCTGGTGCTAGTTGTTCGCTCACTAGCAAATGACGTCAGGTTTAACATCTCTAGGTCTCCACCTGCTCACTTACCTGCCTATCTGACTCCTTCCTCTTGACATGTACCTACTACCTGCCTGACTACCCATGTCGACACCTACCTCGATGCCCACCTCCTAACAGCAACGATGCCTACTTTCTACCAGCAATGATGCCTACTTCCTACCAGTAGTGTTGCCTTGATACATATTTACATACTTCTACATTTTGACGCCTATACTGACAACACTACAGACTGCTAAAGACCACCAAATTGCCATCTTAATCAACAACAGATTATATCAAATTTGAAATTAATAGACACCCAAATTGATCAAATTGATGCTCAAATTGACGCTCAAATTGATACCGAAAAAGATGCCAAATGTCAACAAATTCCATCAATTTCAGGTATCAATTGCTTAATACACTAGGTTACCAAGGGTTGGATTATTCAGAAAGATTATTGTAGTTTCTACGGGGTACTGTCAGTTGTAAGGATATGATTCACTTGGGATTTGTCATCGCGAGGGCTTTCTTGAGTATATTAAGGAGTTTTGCCCTCGCTTCTGTTCTCTTTATTTTCATTATTTTTTGGTACTCAAGGCTCCTGTCCCTCCCAACACCAAAACTTTCGAACAACAATACTTTTGACCTGCAAAACCGATAAAAACTTTGTGCAAACACGATACCATATGTCAGTAGACCGCGTAATATACTAAAATCTTATCCGACATCTGTTTGTACGCTAAGTTATTGACACTCTGGTTCCTGAGTTGTGAACTCTTACCCCTCCCAAACCCTTTGTTCAACACAGCAAAACAATCTTCGCGACCATAGCAAAACACTTCTAACATGGCACCCCCGACCCCCTCATGCCCCTCTACCCTACTGAGTACTGCAGGCAGGAAAAGAAGACTTTCACAAGTCTCCCTTGCACCCAACCGATCCAGGATGTCAGTGATGCTCCAGCAAGGCCTCTCTCAAGGGGGCGAGTAGCGAGTGTTCCGCAGGGTACGAAGAGTATATTAGGGGACGGTATGGGAACTCGCAATAGGGGTCCCAAAGGGCTCTAGCGTTGATAATGGTCGACAGGACAAGAGGAAGCGAGGCGGTGGTCTTCTTGAATAAAGAAAAGGATGATAATATTTATATAGCAATAGACAGCGTAGATACAGAAGACGTTGCGTAGTAAAAGAAAGAGAAGGAAAAGAACAAGAAACGAAAGCGAAAATCCCTTAATATACCCAAGGAAATCCTAGCGATGACAAATCCAAAGTGACTCACACGCTTACGACCCACAGAATCCAATAGAACCAAATAGAACCCTTCTGACTAATCCAACTCCTCGCAATCCAACATATTCACTAGTCAATCCATGAAAGTAGCCCCCCCCTTCAAACGCGAACTCCTGCGAGCCTTAACCTTAATCTTCCCTTCCAATGGTCCAGGTTTATTGGGGTAACGTATATGGAAGATATCAACGGCGGCGATATTTTCGTGGTATGCGGCGGGCTCCCAGGTGGGGTCGGTATAGCCGGTCCACTTAACAAAGTATTGCAGGCCGTTATTTCTTGTTTCCCTCGAGTTCAAGTTTTCCTCGACTGCGTACTCCTATTCGAGTTCGGCGATAATAGGTAGAGCTGGTGGTTGAGTTCGTCCCAGCATGGAGTCATTTGCAGCCGGGTTTAGCAACGATACCTGGAAGACAGGGTGCACCTTCATACCCCTAGGCATGCCGATTCGGTACGCATACGGCGATATGATTTCCTTGATGGGTAATGGTCCCAGTTTCTTCCATTCCAACTTCCGAGAGTTACGGGTGGTTCGGATGTTTTTTGCTGAAACAAACACCATATCGCCAATGCCATACCGTGGAGCTGGCGTTCGTTTGGCATTGACGGCCTGTTCTTGTTGGTCTTGCGCCATACGGATGTTCGTACGTAGGTATTCGTGGAGTTCTTTCATCTTCAAGGCGAAGTCTTTAGCATTAAGGCTTGGTAGGGTCTTGTCAAGCTATTTAATCGTCACTGTGAACCGGGGGTGGAATCCATAGTTAGCGAAGAATGGTGTAACTTTAGTGGATGCGGAGACCTGGTTGTTGGCGGAGAATTCTGCCATAGGGAGCCATTTTACCCAATCGTCCTGTTGATAAGAGACATACCCACGTAGATATTGTTCCATTACGGCGTTCAGCCTTTCAGTTTGGCCGTCGGTCTCTGGGTGGAAGGCAGTGGACATTCTTGCTTCGATGTTGAGGTGTTTACAGAGAGCCTTCCAGAACTTGGCTGTAAATTGCGTACCGCGGTCGGAGGTGACATGTGTGGGTAGTCCGTGGAGCTTCCATATGTTCCGCAAATATAGTTGGGCGACATCTTCGGAGTTGACAGTGGTATTATAGGGCAGGAGATGTCGCATCTTTGTTAACCGGTCAACAACCACCATAATTGCATCGTACCCTTCGCTCTCCGGTAGGCCAGTAACAAAGTCCATCGATACTTCCTGCCATGGTTGTTCGGGAATCGGTAAAGATCGAAGTGTGCCTAGTTTTCCATGGGTCTTGGGTTTGCTTCGTTGACAGGTGTGGCAGTTCCGAACATAGCGGGCAATATAATTCCGCATAAGGGGCCAGTAGTAGTCTCGACTGATGAGTTCGAATGTTTTTTCGCATCCAGGGTGTCCGGCGGAGGCAGCATCATTGTAGAGTTGGAGGATTCGGAGCTTGAGAGGTTCGTAGTCGGGTACATATATACTACCTCGGTAAAGCAACCAGCCTTCAACTTCGGTGCATTCGGCGAGTGATATGTCCTTTGATTGTCGCTCGCCTTTGTTCCGCATATCCAGTATCCTTTGTGGACACGGGTCAGAGCTATATCCTTCATCGAATAGTCCACACAGTGAGGCGTTCTTTTCAGCGGGCTCGTTTGAGAAAGAACCCGCCAACAAACTTAGCTTCACATCAAGATTATCCCTCTTCAATACAACTTGGCTCTGGTGTAATTGTCTTTCATCCCCCTCTCCAGGGAGATCTCCTGATCTTCATGTCAACGCGTCAGTTTCCCTCCTTGTTTCCCTGGTCGGTACTTGATGACAAAATTAAACCGTGATAAATACTCCGCCCACCGGGCTTGTCTCCGGTTGAGTTGTTTTGTACTCATAAAGTATTCGAGATTCTTATGATTGGATATGACGGCGATTGGGTGTGCAGTCCCTTCGAGTTCCGGTCGCCATTCCTCGAAGGATCGAATAATCGCCAGTAATTCCTTATCGTAAATCTCGTAGTTACATTAGGCGGGGGAGTGCTTTTTTGAGAAGTATGCGACGGGCTGAAGGGTACCATTATCATCATATTGGGAGAGTACACCGGCAGAGACATAGTCGGATGCATCGGTTTCCACGGTAATTTCTTTCTCGGGGTCAAAATGGGTAGGGATGGGAGCGGTGGTAAAGGTTTCTTTCAAGGCGTTGAAGGCAGTTTGAGCTCTGGGTGTCCATTTGAACGATATGTCCTTGCGTGTCAGTCTCGTAAGGGGGAAACAAGTTCCGAGAACCCACTTATGAATCGGCGGTAAAAATTAGCGAAACCTAGAAATGCTTGCACATCCTTAACCGTTTTGGGGACGGTCCAATTCTTCACTGTCTCCACTTTCCTTGGATCCATTTTAATGCCATTGGGTTCGATGATGAGGCCGAGGTAGGTGGTGCTTTGGGTATGAAATTCGCATTTCTCTGGTTTCAGCAGTACTCTATTTCTTTGTAGGGCTTCCAAGATCCTTTCGACGTGGACTTGATGTTCCTCGAAGGTGTCGCTGTAGATGAGAATATTCTCAAGATAGGCTGTACAGAACATATCAAGGTAGTCACGGACGCAATCGTTAATAAAGTGTTGGAAGGTGGCCGGCGCATTGGTAAGGCCGAAGGGCATCACCGTATATTCGAAATGTCCATAATGCGTACGGAATGCTGTTTTCCATTCTTTACCCTTAGCCATTCGGATCTGATTATACCCTTGGCGAAGGTCAAGCTTGGTGTACCACCTGGCTTTGGAGAGGCGGTCAAGAGTTTCCCGGATGAGTGGCAGCGGATAGTGGTTTTTTACAGTAAGTCCGTTGAGGCCACGATAATCGACACAGAGACGGAGTGTTCCATCGGCTTTTTTAACAAATAGAACAGGGGCACCGGCAGGTGAAGAACTGATCTGAATAAAGCCTTTTTGGAGGTTGTCCTGTATGTATTGCTTAAGCACGATGAGCTCCTCACGGGACATACCATAAAGTGGCCCAAACGGGGGTTCTTTTCCCTCCTTGAGCGGTATTTGATGGTCATAGCGACGGCGAAGTGGCATCTCGTCAGCGAACTTCTCGTCCATCATCTTATGGAACCTCTTATATCGGGTTGGAACTCGGTTTCTCCAGTCTTTCTTAAGGGGTTCACCCATCGCTTGGTCTATTTCCTTGATAGTGGTGCTGAAGATTTGGAGTTTGTCCCTCCGAGCGAAGCAGCAGAGAGCAGCTGAACTGATGAGGTGGAAACGGGGTGGTGGTGTGATCCCTCTAATGGGAACGGGTATGGCAGGGGAGTTGCACTTACGCTTACAGTATTCGGAGTCGAACAGTATACTATTGTCCTTAAACCGTAATGTGGCATCGTGTAGTTGGAGCCAAGGAATTCCGAGTACTAGTGGGTATGAACCGAGTTTGGTGACGAAGAAGGGGATACTTTCATGGTGGGAGTCGATTGATAACGGTAGGTAGCAGAGGTGGGTAATCTGTCCGGAGGATGTGGGCTGCCCGTCGATGACTTCGAGAGTACGGGGTGATTTAAGGGGAAGAAATGGAAGGTTGTTATGGCAAGCGAATGTTTCATCAATGAATGCGAACCCGGAGCAGCCGGTATCAATTAATGCGTAGGTTTGAATGGGTATTTTATTGTTTACAATTTTACAAGAAGCAACAAAATGATCGCCATCCAATTTATCCTCCTCAGACGATACCGAGAAGCCAGAGATAGAGAACGCAGACAAAGGAGAAACATTAGAAGGTCCCAGGCAGGGGCCATTAGTCGAGCCCGGGACTACTGAAAACCCGACTCAGAAGAGGCAGGACTAGCGATTGGTGGGGTAACGGGGTCGTCGGCATTATGAGCGCGTACGAGGAGGGCACCCCTCATAACTGGTTGATTATCACGCGGGCGATTGGCAGAGGGGCAGTTGACGAAGACATGGCCAGGGTTGGCACAGTACATGTAAAGGTTATTGTCCCTTCGCCATTGTTTTTCAACAGCAGAGGTTTTACGTTGCCCATTGATGAAGGTGTATCGTTGTTCGATGGTAGGATGTTGAGCGGGGCAGGCTTGAAAGGTGGAGAGCTCCATTGGGGCGAGGTCTTCGGTGGTGTGAGATGGGTGTGCGACAGCGGTGGGGGCGGTAAATTGTCCCATAGTATTCTGAATAGCCCGTTGTTCAGCTTTACGGCTCCGAACCTGGTTGTCAATTGTCATCAACATGGTAGAATATGCTTCGACGGTGTTAGGCCTGTCTGTCCGGTATGTCATGGCATCCTTCAAGTCATCCGACAGTCCTTTGGCCAGGGTATCGATATTGGCTCCCTCGTTGTAGTCCAGGTATACCACAATACGGAGGAACTGCGAGTAGTAGGTGGCAAAGTCCCCTTTGCCTTGCTTCAGGGCGACGAGTTGGTGACGGGTGGTACTCCGGGGGTCTGGGTCTCCAAACGAGGCTTCCAGGTGTGTAACGAAGGCAGTAACGGAGGAGAAGGGGGCGGCAGGGTTAGCGTTAACGAGTGGAACGACCTGATCAAGGGCCTTTCCTCCAAGCCACTGACGGCATAAATAACCTTTGCTGCCTCGTTTCGGAACCGATCGTGGTTGACTTCGACTTTCATTCGAAGTTGGGTTGTAAATCCGGGGAGCCTGGTACAGGTGCCATCGAATTTTTCGGGGTCTGGAAACTTTTCGGACCTGAAGGCGGGGACAGTAGCACGTGGGGGGGCAGCGGCAATGGGGACAGTGACGGTAGAGGCGGGGGTGGCACGGGCGACATTGAGGTCGAGGTTGAGCCGGATTACCTGCTCCTCGAGGTTGTCAATGGTTTCATTGGCGGTGGTACATTGTGTATGAAGGGTGTCCCTCTGGAAGCGGACGCGCTGGACGAGGGCGGCGATGTTGTTGAATAATTCGGCAGAGTCGGCCTCATACTGCTGCCTGAATCCTTCTACATCGTTGGATGGGGCCCATGCAGGTGGGTCGGGGATGGACATGTCGTACGGTGCGGATGACGACGCAACGTAATCTCAAGGGGGTTTCATAGATCGACTAGTGGATATACGGGGTTACGAAGAGTCGGATTAGTCAGAAAGGTTCTATCGGGTTCTACCAGGTTCTGTTGATCGTTAATGTATGAGTCATGTTGGATTTGTCATCGCCGGGATTTCTTTGAGTATATTAAGGGGGGTTTGTTTGTATTTCTCGTTCTTCTTCTTCTTCTTCTTTCTTTACGCAACGTCTCCTGTATCTACGCTGTCTATTGCTATACAATATTATCGTCCTCTTCTTTCTTTAAGAAGACCACCGCCTCGCTTCCCCCTTGTCCCGTTGAACCTTATCAACACTAGAGTCCCGTAGGACCCCTATTTCGAGTTCCCATACCGTCCCCTAATACACTCTTCGTAACCTGCGGAACACTCGCTCCTCGCCCCCTTGAGATTACGTTGCGTCGTCATCCGCACCATACGACATGTCCACCCCAGACCCACCTACATAGGCCCCACCCAATGATGTAGAAGAATTCAAGCGGCAGTATGAGGTCGATGCTGCTGACTTATTTAATCACATCGCCGTCCTTGTCCAACGTATCCACCACGAGAGGGATACCACTCGTACACAACTCACCGCTGCCAATGAAACCATTGACAATATTGAAGAGCAGGTAACCCAGCTCAACCTCGACCTCAATTTCACTCGCGCTGCCCCCGCCCCTGCCGTCTCTGTCCCCGTTGCCGCTGCTCCTTCACCTACTACTGTACCTGCCTTCAGGTCCAAAAAGTTCCCAGACCCGGAAAAATTTGACGGTACCCTTACCAAGCTCCCCGGATTCATCACCCAACTCCGAATGAAACTTGAGGTCAACTACGATCGATTCCGAAATGAGGCAGCAAAGGTTATCTATCCTGTCAGCCGCTTAGAAGGAAGGGCCCTTGATCAGGTGGTTCCACTCGTTAACACTAACTCTGCTGCCCTCTTCTCCACTGTCACTGCCTTTATTGCCCACCTGGAAGCCTCGTTTGGAGACCCAGATCCCCGGGGTACAGCCCGTCGCCAACTAGTTGCCCTGAAGCAAAGCAAAGGGGACTTCGTCACCTATTACTCACAGTCCCTGTGTATTGTAGCCTACTTAGACTACAACGAAGGAGCCAAAATCGATGCCCTGGCCGAAGGACTGTTGGAAGACCTGCAGGATGCCATGACATACCGAACAGGCAGGCTCAACACTGTAGAGGCATACGTGACCATGTTAATGACAATCGACAACCAGGTTCGGGGCTGTACAGCTGAACAATAGGCCATCCGTAATACGATAGGACAATTTACCACCCCCACCGCTGTCGCACATGCATCTCATACCACTGGAGGCCTTGCTGCAATGGACCTCTCCCCCCTTCAAGCCCATCCCACTCAACGCCCTGCCACCGAACAACGATACACCTTTATCAATGGACAACGCAAGACCTCTGCCGATGAAAGTCAATGGCGAAGGAACAACAATCTCTGTATGTACATCACCAACCCTGGCCATGTCTTCGCCAACTGCTCCTCTGCCAATCGCCTGTAAAAATATGGCATTGCGACATCGGTTATGTATGGTAATTACTCATGTGTAAGGGATGACTTATAGTTAGAACAAGGAGGCTTAGCGCTAGGATTATGTAATCAGGGGATCACGTGGTACTAAGAACTATCTGTATATAAGGAGCAACAAACTCCCATAGTTGTCGCTGGAACTCAGCGGCGCAATAGTATCTTCATTGCACTATAAACATATTCCTCACAAAGGTCACGTGTTAAAACCCTCCTCAAGTCGTCTATTCTCCCACACTCCAATCCACAGGTTATGAGCCCGGGTTCTGCCAAATAGAATCCGCACTACACCATCGCCACCTCGCTTAACTCAACAACACTTCATACAACATCATGCCTTCAGGTGGAGAATCGTCATCCAGTGCTGCTGAGACTAAACCCTCAGAGACAACAGCCACCAGTAACATTCGTCTCAAGTTTGATGGACTTCCTAAACTACAAGGACAATCCAACTACCAAACTCGAGCGAGTGCCTGGAGGATAACGTTCGACGCTGTAGATTGGTGGGAAGCGTTGAGCATCGAGAACCCAGACGAGAATGACACCGAACTCAGCAAAACCGAGATAAAGAAGGCTCGTAAACAAATGCACAGCCTTCTCATCTCTGCTGTATGCGAAGAAATACAACCAACAGTCGTCTCCGCCGAAAATGCATTCTACGCATGGAAGGCGCTCAAAGATCTCTACGATCGTGTATCACCCAACATCACGATCACCCTCCTCAGCCGCGTCCTAGACACGAAGATGCAAGAAGGCGGATCACTGACCGAGCATCTCGCGACCTTCGATGCGAACTGGAATACTCTCAAGTCCAGATGCCAAAGCGCAGACCACAAACTCACTCAGGCTCTCCTACCCCTCACCAAATCCAACGAAGCCATGGCAGCATTCCTCCTAAGCTCGCTACCCAAATCAGTGAGCAACGTTGTAGACAACATCCAGACCAAACAGGATGTCACCTATGAAGACGTACGCCAACGACTACAGAACCTGGATGAGGTACCCCCTCAACAGGAAACAAAGTACTCCATACCAGGAGTACCACAAGCGACAAGGAATGCACCTGGTGCAAGAAAAGGGGACAGCCTTACAAAGGCCACGAGTACACGGAGTGCAGAAAGCTCAAAGAACAGAACAAGAACAGGAAGGGAAAGAGAAAGGACAACTCGGCATCGGTTGTAGTAAATGACTCTACCACCACTATCTGTATGGTACGCCACAACCTCTCCCAACCCCTTACTTGGATCCTTGATTCTGGAGCAACCTCTCACGTCACACCCTTTCAAGACCAACTCATCGACATCCGACCTCACACCGGCAATGTCCGAACAGTTGATGGAACCAACCACACTGTCACCGGAATGGGAAGCGCTAGTTTCAGCTGCCGCCTTCCCGATGGAAGCAGATCTTCCATACTCCTCACCGATGTGCTGTTGGTCCCAATCTTGGGAAATGTGGGATTGGTCTCCGAAACCGTGCTCGACAAAAAGGGATTTAGAATGGAGTCAGGAGGAGGAAGCAAGTTGGTTACAAAAGAAAAGAAAGGAATAATTTGGGCAAAATTGGAGAAGGGACTTTGGAATGTACAAGTAGTTAGCAATACAGTTCGTTTGACCACTTACGATGAATGGCATCAAGCGTTAGGCCACCCTGCGACACTAGAAAACTTGTATCACGACATTCAAAGGCAGCCTCCCAAACCAGAAAGTTTCCACTGCAGTCAATGAGTACTATCAAAAAGCGTACATAAGAAACCTGCACCAATTAGTACTAGATCCAAACAACCATTCGAACTAATCCACTCAGCTCTATCTGGAAAGTTCAGTATACAGTCACAAGAGAAAGCTCAGTACTATATGTCCTTCATCGATGATTACACCCGCTTCGCATGGATATATCTCCTGAAACAGAAAGAAGACGCAAAGAATGCCATCAAGGACTACGTTACCAGAATCGAGAAACAGTATAGTACAACAATACTGAGATTCAGAACGGATGGTGGCGGTGAATACATCAATAAGGACATAACGAACTACTTCGAGACACAAGGAATAGTTCATGAACAGACTCCCCCATACACTCCCGAATCTAATGGAGTTGCAGAACGATTCAACAGGACGGTAACCACAATGGTCAGGTGCATGATCATGGACCATCCTAAGTCGTTATGGGGAGAAGTATACGCAACAGCTGTCTACCACAAAAACAGGCTACCTCACAGTACGCTTAAGGGAAAGACTCCCTTTGAAGCCCTGAAAGGAACCAAGCCAAGTATACAACACCTTCAACCATTCGGCAAAAAATGCTACGTCCACATCCCAGAAAACTCTAGGCCAGCAGGAAGCAAACTAGCACCCCGAGCGTATGAAGGAATCATAGTTGGATACTCAGACAGTAATAAAATATACCGTATCTGGATAGGAACACAACATAGGGTAATTGAAAGTTGGGACGTCACATTCCCCCCTCCTGAATCAGGGGAAGTCTCAGTGGAACTCGACTTCATCCCCAGCCTCAAACCAGAGACGGCAAATGCACCATCAGACGACGGATACGAATCAGAAGACAGGTCTGATCCAGAATCCGAGTCGAATGCAATCGAAGAGAACCGTACAGAAATGCCAGGATTGTTCCCGGAATCACCGGAACTGGTTAGAAAACCACCACCGGCTACACCACACAAGGGAAAAGAACCTGCCATACCTATGGGACAACCGCGAAACCCAAGAGATAACTGGGAGACAATTCCAGCACCAGTCGTACCATTCAAAGACTTCAAAAGAAAACCACTTGAGTCAACGACACCCAAAGGTACACCACCACAACCTCCAAAAAGATCAGATCCACCACCAGCTCCAAGATGATCGAATCGCGTCCGTAAGAAAATGTATTATGAACTTGATAAGGAAATAAGAAGGAAGGAATACAACAACAAGGTAATACAACTAAAGAAACAACAAAAAGGATACATTGAATCAGTTAGAGAGGATGGTCTAATGGATAAAGGCGAATGTCAAGCAATGATTGAAGAATTCAAAGCCGACATCAGAAAAGCCAGAAAGGACCTGGACCTAGAATACCAAGATATATCCAATGAACCTGCGATCTACCATGTGCACCTTGTAACCGAACCTTCAACCTATCATCAAGCCATGAACAGCGACGATCAAGACCTATGGAAGAAGGCGATACAGACTGAAAAAGACGCCCTTGACAAAGCCCATACCTGGGACATTGTCAACCGACCAACCAACCGAGCAGTAGTCAAAGGGAAGTGGGTATTCAAAGTCAAACACAACGCGGACGGAACAATCGAGTGGTACAAAGCAAGGTACGTTGCTAAAGGCTTCATCCAAGTACAGTACCAAGACTGCGATGAGACCTTCGCCCCCGTTGCACGATATGATTCTCTACGACTCCTACTGGCACTAGCTGCACACAACGGTTGGATACCACAACAAATGGACGTCAAGTCAGTCTTCCTGTATGGTGTACTCAAGGAGGAAATCTACATGGAACTGCCTGAAGGCTACAGGCAGGACAACAAGGTTTGTAAACTTCGAAAATGCATATACGGACTAAAGCAATCACCCCGTGAATGGTATGCTTGCCTAGCAGACTCCCTTCAACGGAAAGGATTCGTCCCAGCCAAATTCGACCCATGTGTCTTCATACATAAGAACCACCATCTATACATATCGGTGTATATAGATGATATCATGATATTCGGACCCGACTCCCCATTCAGAAAAGAAATCAGACAACTACTCAAGGCAGATTTCGAATGTACGGATCTCGGTAACTCGAAGTTCATACTGGGAATAGAAATAACGGTAACCAACAACGGTATCACGCTATCACAACGCGCATACATCAACAAGATCCTGGATAAATTTGGAATGAGTAACTGCAAACCAGTTGGCACACCACTCGAACCGAACCTCAACCTTCACAAAGGCGAACCGGAAGACCAAATCGAGAAACCAACTGAGTACCAATCCATAATAGGATCACTGATGTACGCGAGTATAGCTACCAGACCTGATATCATCCATGCCGTTACCGCTCTCTCACAGTACTCCTCATGTCCAACCGAGGACCACCTACAAGCAGCAAAGCGAACTCTCCGATACCTCAACGGAACCAAAGACTGGAACCTGTTCTACCCGAAGGGGAATACTAGAACACTCGACGGATTCTCAGACAGTTCCTACGCTTCAGACCTAGATGACAGAAAATCGTTCTCAGGATACGTGTTCAGACTAGGGAAGTCAGCCATCAGCTGGAGAAGCCGGAAGCAGAAATCAGTCGCAGTCTCAACAACAGAAGCCAAATACATGGCCCTGTCCCTCGCAGCTCGACAACTCGTATGGATTCGTAATGCCTTGCACGAACTCCAACAACAATACCAGTACTTCATACACGCCGACAATACAGGTTCTATCGAACTCTGTCGGAACCCACGTATCCACGACCGGTCCAAGCACATCGACGTTCACTACCACTACACACGTGAACAACTCGAAGCCGGAACCTTCGAAATCCTCTACGTCCCTACCGAGGACAATGTCGCGGACATAATGACCAAAGGACTACCAAAACCAGCTCACCAAAAATTGTCAGAATTGATACGATGTGGCAAGTGAGGGGAAGTGTAAAAATATGGCATTGCGACATCGGTTATGTATGGTAATTACTCATGTATAAGGGATGACTTATAGTTGGAACAAGGAGGCTTAGCGCCTGGATTATGTAATCAGGAGATCTCTTGGTACTAAGAACTATCTGTATATAAGGAGCAACAAACTCCCATAGTTGTCGCTGGAACTCAGCGGCGCAATAGTATCTTCTTTGCACTATAAACATATTCCTCACAAAGGTCACGTGTTCAAACCCTCCTCAAGTCGTCTATTCTCCCACACTCCAATCCACATCGCCCAAATGGCAACCAACTAGTTGTGAGGGGGCCCTTCTCGCACCCACTCATACTCCCGCCGACCCAGTTGCACCACCGATCGCTAGTCCCGCCTCCTCCGAGTTGAGTTTTTAGTAGTTCCGGACTTGATCAATGACCCCTACCCGGAACCTTCTAATGTTTCTCCTTTGTCTGCTTTCTCAATCTCTGGCTGCTCGGTATCATCTGTGGATGATAAATTGGATGGGGATCATTTTGTTGCTTCTTGTAAAATTGTACTCAATGAAATATCCATTCAAAACCACATATTGATTGATACCGGTTGCTCCAGGTTCGCATTCATTGATGAAACATTCGCGAGCGATAATAACCTCCCATTTTTCTCCCTGCAATCACCCCGTACTCTTGAAGTCATCAACGGACGGCCCATATCCTCCGGACAGATTACCCACCGCTGCTACGTACTGCTATCAATTGGTTCCCACCATGAAACTGTCCCCTTCTTCATCATCAAACTCAGCTCACATCCACTCGTACTCGGAATTCCTTGGCTTCAATCTAGTAGTGCAATGTCGGACAGGATTTTGAGCTTGCCCGGGAACTGTCACCCCACAATTCCAGGCTCTGTAGCTATGGGTTGAACAGGACGATCCAGGTCCATTCCCATCATCAGGTATGCGTATACAGGGGGTCGTGGTCGTGATTGCGGGGGCGGAGGTGGTGGTTGGGGCTGTTGAGTAGGGTAACTCACTGTGAGTCTTCGCAACCCGTCCTGGTTCACTCCCGGCACCGCCACTCACTGGGCGGCTACAACGATCGATGACTGCATGGCACCGAACGCACCGTCTCGAGCCCACGATCATGACGGTGCATGAAATTCAATGATGCCGTGTTTCCCCATCCTCTGCTTCGATGGAATACATATATTTCAGATTCTGAATTCCAAATTAGCGCATTGGGCGAATCCCACTGTTTGTCTCCAATGTGTCTTCTTACACTCTCGGATTCTGTACTCCAGGTCACCACTTTACTAAGTTTCAACGCTCGTAACCCTAACTACCCACAACCAGGTTTCAACCACCACCAAATACACATTGATGTATTTCATTTTTACCGAACATTGTATTTTGTACAAGTAACCAAATCAGATTTGAACTCTCGTAACCCTAACTACTCACGACTAGGTTTCAACCACCAATAAATACATATTGATCTGTTACATTTTAACCAAAAATTGAATTTTGTACCAATAGAATAACAACGACCTGAAGAAAAACAGATAGAAAAGTGTCACTTCAGTATTCTGTCCTACATTCTAATTCCGATACGTAACCATGAAGGTTACAATTACCAGTCTTCGGGCTGTATTGTATTATTGTTCGAAACACTACTGAGCAATATTGAATCGCTGGATAGATGTGAATGTCTACTAGGACAGTATGTAGAGCAAACACTAATGGTGAAATTGGTTGCTACTGTTTGTGATAGCTTGAGAGGTATAAATATCAATCGAAACAGAAAGTGCATCAGAGTTTGCAATTGAGATTTCTTGGTATGGTTTGCTATGATTCGATTTGTATGCACACTTGTTGTGACAGAATGTAAATCAGGAATAGGAGATAAGATTTGTGAGGATTTTTGGCAATCGCTTGATACGTATGCATATAAATCGGAATGGCAAGTAAAGTGTATACCGATAAGAAAAGCTTTCTGTATAATGTTTTAATACTAGATAGGAGTCGATACCTGTCAGAAAAATATTCGAATCAGTAATTAGCAGTGAAATTGGTTGATATCATTAATAATTGGTTCATACTTATACGTTCTTATCAGAACAGCAAATTTAACAGTTATTGACAAACAAAACCTTTTGTATTATTTACAATCCTTTGATATGTATGTATCAGGACAGCAAGTGTATCAGAAATTCAAAATTCTCATTTGTTACAATCGTTTATGAAGGTTTGAAAGCTATGAATATTTATTGCTACAGTAAAATACTGGAATTGATACTCAATGTGTTTGATGGCTTGATTGGTATACCATGTTCTGGATCAATATTGAATAGATTGAATACTGCACTACGGTTTGCAAAATATCTTCTCACAAAACACTAGGTTGTGGCTTCCCAATCTATTCTGAAATATATACAATCTATGATCTTATTCTGAACTTGAGAATGAACAATATTCAGCACTTATCTCTAAAACTCATTATTTTAATTGATAACAGTCTTCATAACGTGTATCCTGATATTTTTTATTCTTGTAAACGGGTAGGAATTTGACGATGTCCGCAAGATAACATCTCTTCCACCTCACCTACCTATTAACAGTATGCGCCCAAATTCCCCCAAGCCTTTAGAATTAGGATTATAGGTGGTTTTGATTGAGAATGTCATATTTGAGCTGACTGGCGATCAGTATAGCACTCAATTGCTTGAACGTTCTCAGTGTAACCCAATTCATATCCTAAAACCTTGTCCGATTTCATGGATCGATTGAATGATATAGTAGGTTACAAAGGGTCGAATTGGTCAGAAAGATTTTATACATTTCTAGAAGATTCCGTCAATTTTAAGGGTATGAGTCACGTTGGATTTGTGATTGCTAAGCTTTCTTTATGTATATAAAGGGGCTTTGCCCCCGATTCTATTCTCTTTCCCTCTCTTTTCTTCTCTTTCTTTTGGTACGCAAAGGTTTAAGTAATCTACGCTGGCTATTGCTATTCAAGTACTATTTTCTCTTCCTTTATAAGGAGGCCATCTCACTTCTCCGACCTTCCCACCGCTAGTCCTAAACTACTGTAAGTTTCTTCAACCCCTCTCGCTGATTAACCTACCAGCCCACACGATCACCTTCCGTACGCTGTGGAATACTCGCTATTCACATTTCTGAGATTACATTGCATCGTCGTCTGCACCATATGCCATGTCCACGCCCAACCGACCTACATGGATCTCATCTAACAAAATCGAGCAATTTAACCATCAGTACGAATAGAATACTGCTTCCTTGTTTGACCACCTCCCTACTATGTTTTAAAGCATCCGACACGAGAGGGATAGTGCTCGTACACTGCTCCCCGCCGCCCACAAAACCATTGACTACCTGGAAGAGCAAGTAATACAGGTCAACCTTGACCTCAATGTTGACCACATCGCCCCTGTCCCCAATGTTCCTGTCCCCGTTTTCGCTGCTACTGCATCAACCAATTTCTCCACCTTTGGGTCTGAAACGTTCCCTGAAAAGTTCGATGATATCCGGACCAAAATCCCCGGATTTGTTACCCAACTCCGAATGAAGCTCGAAGTCAACCATAATCATTTCCGCAATGGGACAGCAAAGGTTATCCATTCGGTCACCTGTTTGGAGGGAAGAGCCCTTGATCAGGTCATCCAACTTGTTAACGCCAATCCTGCTGACTTCTTTTCCTCCGTCACCTTCTTCGTCGCCCAAATGGAAGGCTCATTTAGAGAACTAAACATTCAAAGCACCAACCACCGCCAACTCATCCCCCTAAGGCAAGGCAAAGGAGACTTTGCCACCTACTACTCACAGTTAATCAGAAACGTGTCCCACTTGCATTACAACAAACGAGTCAAGATTGACGAATTGCCGGAAAGATTGTCGGACAACTTTAGAGACGTCATGACATATCGAACGGACAGACCCAACATGGTGGAAGCATATGCGACCATGTCAGTGATGATCGACAACCACATGTAACTGACGTGCTATGATGAAACACAACCGTGACTTCCTTTCGAATAGTGTAAATAAAAAAAGAGAGTGTTGATGATACTCGTTCAGAAAGAAGAAAATGGAGTTTGTATGTTTAAACATTCCCAAGTCTAGAAAATTATAACTTTATGGGGTCTCCTCTCTATTAAAGATCCGTTGAAGATGAGAGGCCAACCTGGGGCAACACCGAGTGCCTTATAAGAATATGGCACGTTTGCTCAAGTTCTTTTTCCGACTGACAATCTGCCTGTTGATAGTCGGGGGTACAGCAACTATTTTTTATCAGGGGAGAGGGGAGTAACTGTGACACCTTGAATGAACTTCTGTCCGAGTCAAATCATGCAATTTGTTGAAAGCTGTGGTTGAAATCTTAAGAACTATTGGAAACAGCCGACCAGATAATAATTGTTTATTCTAACTCTATTAGAACCGATTTGAGTGTTTGTAAACCGAAGTTTTGCTTTAGTAGTTTGAGTCACACTCCCACTCCCCAAAGATACTCCGGAGCAAAACAGGAGCATTCCGGCAGTTTGACACTGCGGAGGTTAGTGTTGGGGATTAAAACGTGTTTTTGGAATTAGATTTTCCATTATCTCCGGGACACCGCCAGAATCATGTCTGTAGTGCTAAAGCATGATCTTTGAGCGTCGGTTGCAGAGATATGAAACCTCAAACATTGGACTGCATAGGTAGGGAACTCCCGTCCTGCATTCCTTGTGCTATCAGCCATCTTTGTACTTCTGTTCCAAGCTTGCCCAGCCCCCTATTTTTAACTTATAAGACTTCTTACTCATTGAGATCACTGTTCTCTATAAGAATAAAAGTAGGAGCCCAACTGTCCTTGTCTTCACACGTCGATGAAGAACAAGCTGCTGTTACTTAAGGTCGGTGGCTTAACTGATGGAATAGGTTCTTTTGTAACAGCCTCATAGTGGCACAGTTACATTACTCCCCTCTATGGTAGACTCGTTTTGAGTCCACTGTAGTGTTACTGGAATATTAGTATTTGGCATAGAAGAAAAACAGTAGCTCTATTGGTGATTACGTACAAACTACATGTCTGTTTCTATCTCCATCAGAGAAGGAAAACTCTAAAATGAAATGCCTTTTAAAACAAAGAAAATGACATATTCTCCACTCTTCTCGTAGAACCTTCCATTCCACTAGTGGAGATTTCGATGTTAGCAAGAATCTCTCTTGTTCCCAAACAATGCGATATTCTACAAATATCTTCTAATGCCCAGCCTGTTGCCATCGGCTATTAGCTATTTCTTGGAGAATGTGACTGTATTCTCCTTTGACCTCATCTGGAGTAGGAGGGACTTCAGTGCGTTGAGGGTATTTCAGTCCCCAATAGGACTCCAGCAGAAATATTTGGAAGTCATCATGAATGTTCCATTGAGAGGGAAGCTTCAGCCTGTAGAATGCAATAACAAGTTTCTCATCAACCTCAAAGGGACCTAGTTTCTTGTAGTCAAGCTTGCTTGAGGGTCGATTGGGAACCATATTGCTTCAGTCCAGCATCACCTTATCCTCATCTTTGGGTTCCGCAGCTTTCATATGCTTCTGGTCATACCATTTCTTCTGCCGGGCCTGTGCCTTGAAAATATCAGTCCTCATGGTTTTCCAAAGAGCTTTCCACTTGGACTCTAGTACGGCGCTGGACATATTGGCATTGTCTAGCTTCCTTGTGTGCCAATGCCAATTGGAATCAGGCTCGAACCCATAATTAGCGTAGGACTGAAATAGTTTAGTTGACTGTTGGGTTGCCGTGTTGTAGGCATACTCTGCAAGCGGGAGTAATCCTGCCCAATCATCCTACTGGTACGACTAAAAGCTTCTGAAATATTACTCTGGCGTTTGATTGACCCTCTCAGTTTGCCAGTCAGCTTGAGGACGATATGCTATAGACAGACAGAGGTTTACTCCAAGAAGCTTCATCAATGAATGCCAGAACTTACTTTCGAATCTGTAGTCCCGATCAGAAATGATTTCTTCGGATACTTCACATAGTCGCCATATTTCCTGAAGGAATTAGAGAAATGTTTGTGTAGAGAAGTGTAGTAATAGAGTGTGTTATTCCAACTAACTAGAGAGGAGGAAATGCCCCATATTTATACTAAAGAAAGGTAACACAAAACATAGTGAATCATAACGGTATAAGTAATAGAAAGACATGACTAATAAATACCAGAGAAAGAATGAGTCAAAACCCATCACTCATAATGACAAATGAGAATCTTCCAATACTATGAAATGTGCTAAGCGGACTATTTCAAGACTTCCCCTCATGAACCACAGTGAATAGTCGAAGAAAATAAAACAAGCTTACCCTTATCCAATCCCTTTGTAAGTAAATCCGCCAAGTTTTCACTTGTAGAGATATATTTCAACTCAAACAATTTATACTCGTATCGTTCCCGAACAAAATGAAAATGTACATCAATATGTTTAGACCTTTTATGAAAGACAGGATTTTTAACCAAGGACAAAGAACCATTATTATCACCACGAAGAATAAAAGAAAGTTTCGGTTTCCATTCCAACTCGTGTGTCGCATTCCTTAACCAGATCAATTGTCGACTAATATCCGAAAGAGCCATGTATTCTGCCTCAGTAGTAGAGATGGCGATGGAGCGCTGCTTATAAGAGCGCCAGGAGATAAGAGCTTCCCCTAGCATTATACCCGTTCTTGGTACTGTGGAGTTCGGCTTAAGGCTAGATTTTAGGCCTAAAATGGTCAAATCTCGAACAATTGTAAAAGGCATGACGTACGGGGGGTATCCAATGACACTGATCCGGCTAATAAGTCCCGTATGGGTGGCATGCGATGGCACTGTTTCTGCCAAAAGGTCTCGTACGGGAGGTATTCGAAGGCACTGGTTTTGCTGAAAATCCCCGTATGGGAGGTATCCGATAGCGCTGACTGTAGTAAAGGGTAGTGTACGGGAACATTCCCAAGGCACTACCTCTGCCAAAAGATCCTGCACGGGGAGATTCTCAATGTACAACCTCTGCTAAGGGCGGCGTAAGGGAGGAACTCAATTCCACTACATATCTACAAAGTACCGTACGGTGAAGTGTCCAGGCCACCGTCTCTGCTGAAGGCGGCATACAGGAGGTGCTCAATGAAACCGACCATGCTAAAGATGGCATACGCTAGAGATTGTAAGAGCTTTGCTCTGCCAACAGCCCCGTATGGGATCGGTTCAGGGCGGCGTTTGTTCTAGAAGCCCCATACAGTAGAAACTGATAGCGAGCTTTTTGCAAATTGTAGCGTGTGGAGGAGACCGATGATAATTGGTTTAGCAAAAGTGGCGTAGGACAGAGGGGTGTCAACGCATTGACCAGTCAGTCGCCCTGTGAGGGAGGTATTTCACAACTCTGACTCTGCAAAATGGCCCCGTACGAGAGCCAGGTGTATACCCATTTGCATGCCTAGTACGAGAGCCAGGTGCACGCAGTTGACTCTGCAAAATCCTCCCGTACGGAGGTGTGTGCAGAAAATTCCCTGAAAAATCACCCCGTACGGGATGTAGGTGCAGGATGTAGGTGCAGGCAGTTGACTCTGCAAAATCACCCAGTACGGGAGGTATTTTCAACTCTACCTCTACAAAGTCCTCTGGTACAGGAGGTATTTGACAACTTTACCTCTACATAATCCTCTCGTACGGGAGGTATTTGACAACTCTGCCTCTGCAAAATCGCCCCGTACAGGACTCATTTGACAATTGTGTCTCTGCAAATTTAGGGAAGTGAGCTCAATGTTGAGGTTAGCAGTGACACAAATTGTGTATTTTCAAGTTCTGTAACGACCATATAGTTGCGATCTGAACAATGCTACCAGTACTGGAACCATGGTGCAGTATCTAATTGGGAACTGCTCCAGGTGGTGCATCGAGCGTACAACACCTGATTCAAGTTTGGTAATACCACAGGTGCTAGAATGACCATATAATACCTATCTGCATGTATGAATTGGATTCGGACTGCAGACAAGCTTGGGTGTTGTAACAGGGCCGCTATAAGGCTCTTACAAAAGTACCTGTTCTACCAGTTAAGCTAAAAAGACCCTAGGGTAACCGCAGCTTGTTCTTCATCGATGGGTGAAGGCAAGGGTAGGTGAGCCCCTACCTCTGTTGGTATGGAAGGTAGGGATTTTAGCGAGTAAGGAATCTTACAAGTCAAACCTACAGGTGCAAGCTAAGGCCCGGAGGATATGCTCTAATATGACGGAGGTGATCCGGTCAGTATCTCGATCTGTTTGAGAAGCATTTGCGGAGTTGTGAAAACGTTGGAAAAAAAGTATGTTTTGGACCCCAAAATAACCCCTGGAGTGTCAAACCGCCGGAACCCTCCTATTTGACCCCGGTGCACCTTTGGGGAGTGAGAGTATGACCCAAGCTACTAAAGCACAACTTCGCTTTATAAATACCCAAATCAATTGAATAAGCAATTGTTGTTTAGTCGGTTGTTTCCGTTAGTTTTTAGGAGGCGACCAGCTCCTGGCAGAGATTGCTTGATTTGACTCGGATAGCAGATACTCCGAAGTGTGGTAGCAACACTCCTAACTCCGCTCTGTAGGAAATAGTTGCTGGGCCCCCGACTATTGACAGGCAGATTGCCAGTCAGAACGAAAAACCTGAATAAGGGTACCGGACTTCTATAAAGAACCGGTGTAGCTCCAGATTGGCCTCCCATCATCAGTGGATCTTTACTAGCGAGAAGACCCCTTGAAATTATTAAGTTCCTAGACTACAAAAGAAATCAAACAAACAAACTCTATGTTGCTCTCGAACAAGTCCTATCATAACTCGTGCGTTTCTATTTTTATTTTTCTATATGATCGAAGTCACGGTCGTGCCCCATCATGGCATCTCTGTTACAGATATGTAAACCATTGAAATTCACCTACTCTATATACAAATCCGGTTCTCCATGCACTTCCGCAACCCCTTCCGCAACTCCCTCCGTACAAATTCTCGAACATGCAAATCTGCAACCAAGCGTAAGCCTACTTCAATACAACCCCCACCATTTGCTCTCCAACATGAATGTCTGCCACTAAGCATTCACCACCAAATCCAGCAGCAACCTCTGCAGTGAATTGTGTGCTGGCACCACCACCACATCTGCAACAAATCTGGAGGGATTTTGCAGCAATTCAGGCAGCAGCTCGACATGTCCTCCACGGTCGAATTATACCCATTTCTGATGGGGTGAACTCAGGGTTAAGGTTAGCCCCCCATCACCAAAAACAGGGAGACCCCTATAGTATGCAGTGCTACGTGCCGTACAGTCCCCTTCAGGCACTTCTCCTTTGATATATAGGGGATGTACGGTTGACTTGCTTTTGCCTACTAGAACAAGCGTCGTGAGGTGGTTGTTCTACCTGTATGGATGCATTGCGTTCCGACCCAATGCAGGTTTGCGCGCACAACACATACCAATTCGCAAGGCTTCAGTACCCTCTCGGCTACAGCGCGCACCTCCACAGCCCGCACTTTCACAGGCCGAAGCTCCACAGCCCGTACCTCTACCACCGGCTCCCCGCCAACAAATCTAACACCTCCACATGCACGAAATTGACACCTCCGCCACCACCAAATCAAGCACCGAGGCTGCAGCGATTCATGCATCCACTATGCAAAGATTCTACTCCAAATCATGCAACAAACCGGTAGTGATTTTGCACTAAATGATCCAGCGATTCTGGAAAGAATAGGGCATGCAACGACAGGTATTTGCACGCCACTGCCATCATATCGAGATACTGTTCCCTCAAATCACGACGGCCTACAGAACTGCAGACGCCTGAAAGCAATCTAGCGGAGGATAAAGAAGGTTAGTTAGGGGTAGGGTTAATTAGGGTTAGTTAGGGTTAGTTAGGGTTAGTTAGGGTTAGTTAGGGTTAGTTAGGGTTAGTTAGGGTTAGTTAGGGTGGAATGGAACGTAAACTATCGAGAAGAGAATCGTCAAGGAGGCAGACAGGAAGGTAGACAGGCTATCGCTTCAGGTTTCGCTTTGATGATGAGCTCTTCAGTGCCAGTAGCGAGGGCGGTATATATAAGGGTACCGCCAGACATCGAGTGAGAGCGCGTGACCCTAGGGTTACCTAGGGTTAGGTTGCGGGCCAAAGTCCCGCCGCGTCTTATCGCCGATTCGGCGTAACGTTAGGCCGTTAACGCCGAAACACGTCATGCTGACATATCTCCCTATCCCCGTTAACCCCGATAACTCCTAACACCGCCCAAACTCCGGAGAGTTAGGGTTAGTTAGGGTTAGTTAGGGTTAGTTAGGGTTAGTTAGGGTTAGTTAGGGTTAGTTAGGGTTAGTTAGGGTTAGTGGGAAACCCGCAGGTCACAAGGAGGCAACAGCCGCCCAATGCCCTGCGGGCATTGGGTCGCGCAGCGGCCACCCATCCACTAGCCAAATCATTATCCTCAACGTGGGGATTCTTCTGGCCGCACCAGAGTCCTGCCCACGGATAATGATAAGGTTTTACCCATTGAAGTGTCAGCGCACGACAACGTTTCCCACAAAGGGGCGTCCGTCGTGATAACATCTTCGGAACTAAATAACAGGTTCGTAACATAGCCAGCCGAAGTTCTACTACAATACTCAGAGGACCATAAGCGGTTCACCAGATAACAACCTGGATCCTGGCCATGGGTCCCTGCGTTCCGTCAGACATCCAACAGCGTTTCCACGATCAAAGACCGTTTCCGCGCCACGTTGGACTAAAGAACACGTTCTACCGCAAGCGGTAGCCTCTAAGGAATATTGGTTCGTTCTTCGACAATTCAAAGTTCTCCCGAGGAAGAATTGAATGACGAGTCGTCACCATCGGTTTGTTCGTTGTACGTACGTTGTACAGACAGAACTTTAGAGAGGTCGAATGCACCACTCGTGGCGAAGTCATTGAATGATTCAGGATCAATTCTAGACATCTGGACATTAAGCGCGTTCACGTCGTCAGACAGATTTCGTGTGCGCTTGTACGATATAAGGAATCTTGTGTCACGAATGGATTCTAGGAATAATGCGTCTTTCGTGGAAAGCGCTCCAGCCTCAATCGCTCCATCGATAATCGCCGTCTTAAAGGATGCAACATTAACGTTGCTCCATACGTCATTGTAAGAAGTTTTGAGGACCGCATAGGAATGAGCCTTTGGATCGACTTTTGGTAATACAGCGAGATTCCAGCGTTTCTCGACTTCTTGTTCCTTCCAAGCTAGAAGGACTTGACGTGGATATCCCCGCGCAATGAGTAGTTCCATATACTCTGCTACTGACTGGTCGTAGAATTCGCGTCTAGACGAGCAGGTGGCTATCCGGGTAAGTTCACCCTGAAATCCGGATTTCTTGACTTGCGTCGGGTGAGCGCTTTCCCATGGTATACGCATAAAGTGGTTGAAGGGTTTCCGGTAAAGTTTAAAGTCAAGTGTACTACCGGAAAGAATATCGATTTCTAAATCGAGGAACGGACTGGGTCCCTCACCTTCACCAACCACGGACCATTCGGTGCGGAGTACCGGTCCGAGGTTATGTTTATCGAGGATTGCCCAACAATGCTCCGCAGAGTCAGCCTCGATAATAGCTAAACAATCGTCGATATAGCGACAATAAATCTTTATTGGATTATTGTGCTCGAAAGTTTGCACGTTGAAATCAACGTTTCGTTCTTCGTAGTATGCAGCATAAATATTTGCGATATCAGGGGAGCAGGCAGCTCCCATCGCTAAACCTTTGAGCTGTGAATAGAACGAGCCATTGAATTCAACCATCCCATATTGGTTGACAATTCGCATGGCGTCTTGCAATAGATGCACGTTATCGTTCAAAACGGGATCTAATTGCGCCGGGTGATCCGCAAACCATGCAGCAACAATGGAATGTGCGTCTGCAGGGATATTCGGGTACATGGCGACTACGTCACCTGTACATACGAACATTTTACGGCGGGTCCGGTGGTCAGGGATAATAGCCTTGCGTAATAGCGCCGCAACATCCTTGGTTGATTGAACAATCCATGGTGTTGCCTTAGCGGCGCCGGCTATTTTAACCTGTACCCATTTAGCAAGGGGGGACGTAACCCAGGAATGTCCGGGGGCAATAGGACGAATAGCCCAAGGTCTCTTATGTATCTTTGGGATACCGTGAAATCGAGGGATGTCAAATTGCAAATTCCACCGTTCAAGGTATTCCTTTTCTTGCTTGGTGGTTACGTCGATAAGGCATCGTGTAATGTGGGTAAGATCACGCCTTACTTCATGGATGGTGTTGGCCAGCCACTTGAATCTTCCGTTGATCGGGTGATCCTTGTTGTATGACAACAAGGTGGGACCGGGGTCCCCTGCCCAACTAACTTCCAATTTCCGGTAGTTTTGACCATCGGCGAGGAATTTCTCCACTTCGCTTATGTACCAGTCGCGCGAAAAGATAACAGGCCCAAGGTTCTTGTCCGTTCCTTTGATCATCATTTTTTGACTTTCTAGGAATTCAGAGAGTTCTTTCCATCGGGGGCGACGATCCCGATGTAAGGTATTGGATCTTACGGGCCCAGCGTAATCCCCGTGAAGGGAAAGCTCACCACATGCAAGTCCACTCTCAAGCGCGTTACTCATTTTCGGTGGATTCTTTTTTACTTTCGTAAACGAGAATTCCGGGTTCCATGGTTCATCATTGTTTTTATCTCGGTTAAACCAGAAATATTTCCAGCGTAGTGAATACGTAAATTCATCAAATGCAGTGGAAATTAAATTCTTATTAAACGTGATAGGATACAGATATTTTAAATTAACCCCCAACTCATATCTGACCCAATCTGGGACAGAAAGCCCTGCTTGCACATGAGGATCTGGCCAAAACCTACGAAGCGCTGAGAACCTTTCGGTATTAGCTTTCGCGACCAAGATATCTGTTTGCAAATGGGAGGGGAGATTTAATAACGTACCCGGATAGGAAGAGGGCTTATCGTAGTTAAAGTTTGTAGCTAACAACTTTAGACTTTCGCCTTCTTCCCTGGCCCTTTTACGACGGTGGAGGATGCGACCCGTTTCTGAGTCGTCTTCTTCGAAGTCGGCGTAGATGGCTTCCGAGCCTTCTGCGTCTTTTTTATTCCCTGTGGTTTGGCCGGAGCTTTCACCTTGGGGGCGGTTTTTCCCTAGATCGCGGTTAGATAGGTAAATCGAGTTTTTCGGGCATGGGGACCCTCCTACCTTGCGTTTGTTGGACCGATTTTTTGGCTTAGCCATGTCTTTAGGCAGAAGCGACTTAATAAGTCTTTTCAGCCGAGCCTCTTCAGACTCAGGCGCTTCTTGGCCAACCTTCAAGACAGTTCGTTCCTTGAGAGAAATTTTCTTCTCAAGTACGTAATCCTTGTTGGATTGTTTTATCCGAGCCATCTCTAGCACTCGGATTGCCAATAAAGGAGCCAGCCCGAAGGCAGCATCCCTTTCTACCGACAAAAACTCAGGAGCTTTAATGTCGCCGGCGTTATCCCGCTGGGCTCTCGCCTCTGTGGGTTGATCACCGACTGACATATCAACGTCCTCAGCCTGGGGGCGTTCCCCATATCGGATCTTGGCGGCTTGGTAGTCCCGGCTGATAGCATCACGAAGACGTTTCTCATAGGATTCCCTAGCCAACAGTCCGTCAAGGTGGGCTTTCTCCCCTCTTTTCTGAGTGATGATCTCATCAAGAAGCTTACTCGCCATTTCGGATTGTAGAACAGCAATCCGGTTGTTTGCCGATTGTTGCATTTCGGCGGGATACAAGGAGGTGAATTGCGTACGGACTTTGGCCTTGGCCACGGGGTTCAGTACGGTCGGAAATTTCTTTTCGAACTTATTTTTCTCCAGGGAACGTATGGCTTGCTCTACCCCGACTAACTTAACCGCTGTGGTGTGCAGCAGAGATAACTCGTCAAACAATCGGAGTCGAAAGGTAGGGTGGAGAAGTTTTTTGATGTCTTCCATTCGTTCGATAGGGGGTCGGGAAGACATGTAAGCGGCTAACGCACTTTGATAGTGTTTGTAGGCGCTTTCCTCTCCGCTAGTCGTAGCTAGATAGGCGTCTGCGATCATTTCTCGCCAATGTAGCTCGTTGGAGGGGGTGGGGATGGAACCCATGAGGTGGGAGGGACCGTCAAGAGTTAGGTGACCAAACCCGTGTAAGGTTTCAGTACTGACAGGTCGTCTAGTTCTGGCCTTAACAGATCCGAAAATCGGAAGGTCGGTGGGAACGGTGGAGGGGCCAGGGGCGGACATGGTGATAGTCGTGAGGGTTAGTTAGGGTGGAATGGAACGTAAACTATCGAGAAGAGAATCGTCAAGGAGGCAGACAGGAAGGTAGACAGGCTATCGCTTCAGGTTTCGCTTTGATGATGAGCTCTTCAGTGCCAGTAGCGAGGGCGGTATATATAAGGGTACCGCCAGACATCGAGTGAGAGCGCGTGACCCTAGGGTTACCTAGGGTTAGGTTGCGGGCCAAAGTCCCGCCGCGTCTTATCGCCGATTCGGCGTAACGTTAGGCCGTTAACGCCGAAACACGTCATGCTGACATATCTCCCTATCCCGTTAACCCGATAACTCCTACACCGCCCAAATCCGGAGAGTTAGGGTTAGTTAGGGTTAGTTAGGGTTAGTTAGGGTTAGTAGGTTAGTTAGGGTTAGTTAGGGTTAGTTAGGGTTAG